TTCCTTTTTGGCCCCCCCCCCCCTCCCCTCCCCTAAAACCCTCCTGCCTCCCTCTTAGCACATTGGGAACCCCCCTTCCCCCCCCCCCCCCTCCCCCCCCTCCCCCCCCTCCCCCCCCTCCTGCCTCCCCCCCCCGCACCACCGCGCCACCAGCCGCCGCGCCTCCCCACCCCCTGTCTCCGTACCGCGTGCAGAGCATCGAGGACCGGTCGCGCCGCAACGACGAGCTGAATGCGGCCGCCTCCTTCCTCGGCCTCAGCCAGAGCAGCCTGCAGGGCAGCCGCCGCGCGCGCCGCCCCCGCGATCGCGAGCGGCCGCTCTCCCCCTCACGCGCCGCGGCGGGTGTCCGCAGGCATCCACCACGTCGCGCACGGCCAGGCGGTTCTCGTCGCCCTCGAGCCGGTCGACACCGAGGACGAGGCGTCGCCGCCCGAGGGGATGGGCGTCCTCGCCGCCTTCCACTTCCAGCCGCCGGCCGACGGCAGCGGCCGCTCGGCCCTCGGCCGGCTCGACGCGGCGGCGCCCCGCTGCAAGAACGGGCCCGACAACCGGCCCATGTCGATGGGGGCGTGGGCGGAGGGGGAGGAGCCGCCCGAGGCGGACGACTCGCACGACCTCGAGCCGCCCGCGAGGCGGACGCTGCGCTTCGTCGGCCTCTCGCCCGAGATCGGGAGGCTTCGCTGGGCCTTCTCAAAGTACATCGGGCTCGACCAGGTGTGCCGAGAACAGCCGCGCGATGTCGCCGAGATGTCGGCGAGATGTCGGCGAGATGTCGGCGAGATGTCACCGAGATGTCGGCGAGATGTCGGCGAGATGTCGCCGAGATGTCGGCGAGATGTCGGCGAGATGTCGGCGAGATGTCGGCGAGATGTCGGCGAGATGTCGGCGAGATGTCGGCGAGATGTCGGCGAGATGTCGGCGAGATGTCGGCGAGATGTCGGCGAGATGTCGCCGAGATGTCGGCGAGATGTCGGCGAGATGTCGGCGAGATGTGGGCCCTCGAGCACGCGCGCACCGATGAGCCATAGTGGGCGAGTGGAGTGCTTGAGTGTGGCCTCCACCAGGTGCTCGAGCTCGGCTGATCTCGGCCAATCTCGGCTAATCTCGGCGAATATCGATCAGGTGCTCGAGCTCGGCTACCTCGTCCTCGGCGACCAGCAGCCCCGCCTCCCCGCCCTCGCCAACGGGAAGCGCGACGCGCCCCGCGCCGACTCGCGGACGGGCGAGGCCGCCGCGCCGACGGCGCACGCGGCCGACGGCGCGGGCGCGGGCGGCGCGATCCTCAAGCTCTGGAATCGCGCCGTCGGCGGCAGCTTCCACATGCCGACCAACAGCACGTCGCGCAAGGCGCTCTACCTCGTCTTCCGCGCCGAGAGCGGCAGGACGATGCGCATGTGGATCGAGCCGCCCGACGCGCACTCGGCGCGGCTCTGGCTCGAGGGCATCTCCATCTCGCTGCAGCTCTGGCCGCAGCCGCAGGTCTCCACCTCGGAGCTGCAGTGGCTGCGCGCCGTCTTCGAGGCCGCCGACTCGAACCGCTCCGGCGTGCTCGAGCGGAGCGACTTGCGCACGCTGCTCAACGCGGCAAACATGGCCGGGGTCGGGCGGGAGGCGCTCGAGGAGGCGTTGGGGTCGAAGCGGGTGGTGCGCGGGATGCGGCTGGTCGGGCAGCTCAACTTTGCGCAGGCGACGTCGCCGCGGCTGCGGACGCGGCGGAGAGCGCGCTGGAAGACAGGCTGCTCACCCCTCCAGCACTGTGCGCAGGCGGCGCAGCTGCTGCTGACGCTCCAGATGTCGCGGGCCGACGAGGTCGCCGCCCTCTTCCGCAAGTACTGCGCCGAGGCGCGGCAGACCAGGCGAGCCCCCCCCCCCCCCCCCTCTCCTCTCCCCTCCCTTTCGTTGCCGCCCCCCCCCTGCTCCGCCGCCACCCTCTCCGCCACCGCCCTCACCGCCGCCGCCCCCACCCCCAGGTCCGTCACCTCGGCCGCAACCTCTCGCGGAGCCGGCTCCTTCGCGTCGGCCGACTCGGCGCCGCCGCGGAGGACGCTCGACGAGCGCGGGCCGAGATCGCCCGAGATCAGCCGAGATCGGCCGAGAGTAGGCGCAGCCGCGGATGACGCTCGAGGAGTGGGCCGCGTTCCAGCGCGAGGAGCAGGGCGAGGAGAGCGAGGAGCGGGCACGCGCCCTCTTCGAGGGGTACCACCACGAGCTGCGCGAGCAGCAGCTGCGCCGCGACGGCGCGGCCCGTGACTCGACGGGCGCGGTGCTGGGGGGCGCGCTCGCGCGGATCGGGGCGCCGGAGCCGAGCTCGGAGGAGACGGCAGAAACACGGGCGGCGGGTCAGCGCGCGCGCCTCTTTCTCTTCTAGGCGCCGGACCCGAGCTTGAGCCTCGCCGACTTCCGGCAGCTGCTCCTGCACGCGACAAACACGGCCGTCGACCAGCGCGCCACCGCGGCGGAGGCGCACGTCTTTGCGCACCCGCTCTCGCACTACTGGATCTCGTGCTCGCACAACTCGTACCTGGTCGGCGACCAGCTCACCTCGCGCGCGTCGGCCGACATGTACCGCCGCGTGCTGCTCGAGGGTTGCCGCTGCATCGAGGTCGACTTGGCGGACGGCGCGGACGGCGAGCCCGAGGTGACGCACGTGCACGCGCTCACCTCGCGCGTCAAGTTCATCGACGTGCTGCGCGCCATCGACGAGGCCGCCTTCGAGACGTCGCCGCTACCAGTCATCATCTCGGTCGAGATGCACTGCGGCCCCGAGCAGCAGCGCCGCTGCTCCGACCTGATGCGCTCCGTGTTTGGCGCGCGAGATGCGCCGAGACGGAGATTTCGCCGAGATTAGCCGACCTGATGCACTCCGTGGTTAGCGTCCCCCCACCAGCCCTCTCACCACCAGCACCAGCACCAGCCCTCCCCACCAGCCCTCCCCACCAGCCCTCTCACCACCAGCCCTCTCCACCAGCCCTCCCCCCCACCGACTCACCACCACCAGCTCTCCCCCCCCCCCCCCACCATCCCTCCCGCAGGCGCCAAGCTGCTGCTGCCGGACGAGGCGTACCGCTACGCGGCGACGCTCACGCCCGAGAGCCTCGCCGGCCGCGTGCTGATCAAGGGCAAGCCCGAGCGGGAGGTGGCGCCGCGCGGCCCAAAGTCGGGCGGCTCGTCGTCGGCAGAGGCGGTGTCGGGCGCCTCGCGCCTCCGCTCCTCCCTCGTCGCCTTTGCCGGCTGCCGCGGCTCCGTCGCCGAGGCGCGCCACGAGCCGCAGGAGGACACCGAGGAGCCGAGGGCGGCGCTCGAGTATGAGGCGTCGGGGGCGTCGATGGCGGAGGCGGCGGGGGCGTCGCTGGCGGAGGCGGCGGGGGCGCCCCACGCGAGCGTGTCGCTCTCCCCGCACGCCGCGGCGAGCGACTCCAAGGCGCCCTCCCGGCTGCGGAGGCGCTCGCGCGTCAGCATCGTCATCCCGAGCAGCCCGGTGCGGCGGCGCCGCGGCAGCTCGGACGAGTACACCGGCGGGTCGGTCGACTCGTCGAGCGCGCGCGTCAGCCCCCGCGGCAGCCTGGTGGACGCGGGCAGCATCGTCGGCAGCCTCGGCACCTCGCTCGGCGACCCCAGCGCGTACTGCTCGACGTACGAGAGCAGCGGCGGCGCGCCCGGCTCCTCGCGGCCGCGCAGCTCGGTGCTGCAGGTCGGCGCGCGCAAGCTGCTCCGCAAGGTGAAGACGCCGGTCGAGCTGGCCAAGCGGCAAAAGGGCGTCGCGCGGTACGTCGACCCGTCGATGCTGCGTGTGACCGCGATCCGCTCGTGCGCGATCGACAAGGCCAACGGCCCGTGGCCCATCCCGATCATCTCGGCGTCGGAGGACCGCATGGCGGCCGTCGAGCAGTACGGCCTCGGCGAGGACGGGCCGCCGCACGAGCTGTTTGCGAGGCGGCTGGCGCGCGTGTACCCGGCGGGCACGCGCGTCACCTCGGACAACATGTCCAGGACACGTCCACGACATGTCCGAGACATGTCCTTAGGCGGGCACGCGCGTCACGTCGGACAACATGGACCCGCTCCCCTCCTGGCGGATGGGCGCGCAGATGGTGTCGCTCAACTACCAGACGAACGACACGCCCGTCCAGATCAGCCGCGCCCTCTTCGCGCTCGACAACGGGTTCGGCTGCGTGCTCAAGCCGCTGCTGCCTCCGAGGGCACCCGAGATGACCCGAGACGACCCGAGATTAGGTTCGGCTACGTGCTCAAGCCGCCGGAGCTGCGCGGCGGCGGGGGCGGCGCGGAGTGGCCGCCCTTCCGGCCGAACCTGCAGCGCTTCTCTGTGCGCCTCCTCGCCCTCCACCGCCTCCCCACGCGGAGAGAGCAGCGCCCGGCGCTGGAGGCGGCGCCGCACCACGCCTACGAGTCGGCGCTGAGCGGCGCGTCGGCGCCGCCCGACCCGGCGGGCCCGATCAACAACGCCACCATCTCGGTGGAGCTGCACGCCATCGGCGGCTTCTGCTGCGTCAGCCGCACGCTGCCCCTGCCCGCGCGCCCGGCGCAGCGAGCCACCGTCTCCGCCTCCGCCGCCGGCAAGTCGGCGCGCCACTCCACGCTCCACTGCCTCGCCGCCGAGCCGCGCGCGACCGTGCTGCGCGCGTGCGTGCACGACGGCGAGACAGTCGTGGCGTACGAGGCGGTCGTGCTGGGCGCGCTCCGGCCCGGCTACCGCTCGCTCTCGCTGCGCAGCCGCCTCGGCACGCAGATCCGGCTCTGCTCGCTGCTGGTGCACATCGAGCGGGGCGAGGAGCCGAACATGTGGGCGGAGGCGCGCGAGCTGCGCGAGGCGCTCGCGCAACGGGACGAGGCCATCGAGCGGCTGAACGCGGAGCTGGCCGCCGCGCGCCGTGCCGGCCCGGCCGCTGCCGCCAGCGGGGAGGAGGAGGCGGCCGCTCGGCCGGCCAGATAGTTAGGCGCGATCGAAGCATCAGCATGCGACTTGTACGAGAGGGGTTTATTGGGGGGGCCAACCTGCATGCGGTTAAGCGTGCGGAGTAAGTACTGTATACTCTGTGTACGTACTGAGACACCACAGCCACTTGTGGATCACCTCACTGGCCTCTCAGAGAGACGTCAGGGACACCTGGCTGGAACAGAGCCTCTCGCGCGACTAGGCGAGGAACTCGCACACGCACTCCTCAGTCGCACACGGCGAGATGCCGTGCGGACGATCTTGCGCCACACGCCGGGGCGAGGGCCGGTTCGCAAGTTTACGCGGTGAAGCCGGTGAACTTTGCGTCGTCGTCGCCCTCGTCGTCATCGCCCCACATGTCCTCGTCGTCGTCGTCCTCATCCTCGTCTTCTTCATCTGTGGCGTCGGGGGGGATAGAGGTCGGCAGTGCGTCTGAGGTGAGCGAGGGTGCTGCACATGGGTGGGCAGTGTGAGGCGTTGGGAGCGAGGGGATTGGTCGCACCGTCATCGTCCGACGGCGGCGGCGGCGAGGGGGGCGGTGGCGGCGGCGAGGCGGAGCGAACGGCCTGGACCAAATCGCCAGAAGATACGGCACCGGTCAGCGCTGTAGCCAGCGTGATTGGCAGTGCCGCGGTGAGGCGGCGCCTGCCGGAGGGGACTGCGAGACCGACCACCTCGTAATTGGCCCCGTTCAGGGCGATGAAGTCGCCCACCTTGAGACCTTCGACGTAGCAACTGACGACAATGACGGTGTCGCCGGTGCTGGCGTCCTGCGTCAGAGACATTCCTGTCCCTGCCGAGCACTCCCATGTGTCGGACGGCGGTAGTGGCGGAGGCGACGGCGAGGCCGACGGCGGCGGCGGCGAGGGAGGCGGCGGTGAGGGGGGCGGAAGGGGGGGCGGAAGGGGGGGCGGCGACGGCGAGGCGGACGGAGGCGGCGGCAGAGGCGGCGGCGGCGACGGTGATGCGGACGGCGGCGGCGAGGGAGGCGGCGGTGAGGGGGGCGGAAGGGGGGGCGGAAGGGGGGGCGGCGACGGCGAGGCGGACGGAGGCGGCGGCAGAGGCGGCGGCGGCGACGGTGATGCGGACGGCGGCGGCGAGGGAGGCGGCGGTGAGGGGGGCGGAAGGGGGGGCGGAAGGGGGGGCGGCGACGGCGAGGCGGACGGAGGCGGCGGCAGAGGCGGCGGCGACGGTGATGCGGACGGCGGCGGCGGCAGCGACGGCGGCGACGGAGAGGACGGGGGGAGGGGGGCGAGGATGAACGTCTCGCTGCCGTAGGATCCGGAGCCGAGCGTAAACGTATAGCCCGCACCCTTCCACAAGTCGCCGTTCCAGCCGTCGCCGTACGAGTCGTACATGTCGAGCGTGCACTCGCCGGGCGGCGCGGACAGAGTACCGGAGTAGGGGGCCCGTCCACTGCCAATCGACACGCCGCTGCACGTCAGGTCCCACGATACCTCGGACAGGTATTGGCCGCCACCCACGGTGACCTGGAAATCGATGCATGGCGCACACGGCGGCGAGGGAGGGTACCCCGGCGGGGCCGACGGCGGGGCCGACGGCGGCGGCGACGGCGAGACGGACGGAGGCGGAGGGGAGGGCGGCGGCGGCGAGGGCGAGGCGCCGAAGGCTGCGTGGATGAGCTCCATTGTCTCCTGCGGAAGGGGAAAGGTCCGGGGCAGGCGGCACGGGGAGGGGTGAGTTAAGCGGCCTGCTGACAAGGGTGGGGAATGGGCAGCAGCGGACGCGTCTCGCGGCTTCCTCGATGGCAGCAGCTGCACCTGCGAGCGGGAGTAGGCAGGCGGTGCGAGGCCGAGGGGGGTACAGAGCTGCTCGCGCGGCGAGAGAGGGCGCATCGCGTGGTGGGGGTGGTGAGGGGGCGGCGGGTTCCGTGAGCAATAGGCGTCGCGGGGGTCTAGGCGTGCTGCTCGCGGCGGCATAGTCGGGCGCAATGCGGCGCGGCAAGCGCGAGCGGACGAGGAAAGTGCATGGTATGCCTCGTGTGGATGTCAGGCAAAGGCCTCGGGGAACGTGGCGTACTATTTTCAATCAAAAAGAGCGCCTTCAGCGCTACTCTATCGAGGGCTCGCGGAGGGGCAATTTTTCGTTTTTCACCGACGTGGTTCCATCAATCACGCCTGGTTTAGCCCAGGCTTGATGTCTGTTCTGCATATGTGCAGTTGGGAGTTGCCCGACCCCGAGCTGCTGTGTGCTGACTGGGCCTCCATTCGCGTCCTGATTGCGGAAACGGGCCGCCTAGTGCAGCATCACTAGTACAACACGCAACCACACTGAGAGCTCCACACTAGCCGGTATAGGCGAGAACCGACGGCGTCACGGTCGCCGGAGTGGACGCACTGCACACACACTGTGACCGTGTCGACGGTGTGACAGTGAGCGACACAATCGTCGGCGCCGCGCTATCGCGGCGCCCCGCAGTCTACACGCCTCAGGCGCACCCCTGAACGCGCCATGGGCCCCACTCTCACCCCTGAACGCAATGCGGCGCGGCAAGTGCGAGCGGACGAGCTTAGTGGAGGGCTTCCTTGGGATAGAAGGCCGTCAGCGGAATGTGGGGTACATTGGGGGCATGGGGTACAGTTTTCCAAAAAAAAGAACGAGCGAGATTTAGCCGAGAACGAGCGAGATCTAGCCGAGCTCGACAAGCACCTGGCGGTGGTGCTTCGAGCGTGGTCCGTTCCTAGGGTGGAAGACCCATGTACACTGAATTTTTGTCTCTCAACAGTGGCCAGGGGCGGGGCTTGGATTTTTGCCGTCGCCAGTCGCCCCCCCAAACGCTACAGCGGGGGCGGAGGGGGCGGCGGCGGCGGCGGCGGCGCGACGGGGTGGGTAGGGGGGTGGGGAGGCTGCTGTGTGCGCTGCGCGTGCGCGCACCGCACACCATACTCGAGTACGGCGGGAAACAGATGGCGAAGGGGGCGCCTCCGCCTCTGCGGCAACGTGGTGATCGCCGCCGAGCTGCTCCTCTTTGCGGCGCCGGTCACGTACGTGCCGAAGCTCTTCTTTGGCGCCGTCCTCACCTTCATCGCCGCGGACCTCCTCGTCGACTGGCTCTGGGCCGCGCGCCACAAGGCGCACCACATCTCTCCCCATCTCTCCCCTCCCTTCCTTCACCGACCAGCGAACGGGTTCGGGTGCAGTGGGGGGGTAGGGGACGGGTGGTCCTCCGGTTAGGTGCACCCGACCGAGTATGCAATCATCCTCCTCACCTTCGGCGCCATCAACTGCTTCGGCCTCGAGGTTGGCATGTGCGGCGGCGTGCTCATCGCCACGTGCCACTTCATCGTCGACTACGCCTCCGCGCCCGTCGTCCGACGGATCGATGTGCGCTCGACCGTGCTGCGCTCCTGACGCGCCGCGCGCTCACACACTTGGGCTCCCATCTCGGCGCGCGCGAGTCAAGGCCGAACCGACTAGCTGCCGCCGCGGCGGGTGTGGCTGGGCTGCAGGCAGGCCTGTGGCCGGCGCTCGGCAAGCTGTGGCGCGGCGCCGGCGCAGCGCTTGTTACAGATTCGGCGTGTCACTCAGGACTAGTTGCAAATACGGGTGTGTCACAATGACCACTTTTGATGTTTTTTTGTCCGTGTTGCTCCCAGCGCCCTCGCCCGCGCTCCCTGAGGCCATGGCTGGTGATACTAGTATGGGGGGCTACCTGGATACCGCGAGAGCGACCCAACTCGTCGACATCGTCCGATGATGGTGCCTCAAAGTCAGCCTCCGGAGGCTATCGTCGCGTCGAGCCGGCGGTGGCCGTGACATGTGGTTCCACCACCCCTCGCAGGCTTTGCCTCTGACCGCCACCGTTCCCAGGCTGCCTAATGGGATGGAAAGGAAGGCTGGGCGAGCGTATAGAAGCGTGCTCAACCTTGTCGTGGCAACCTGCACGGCAGCGCTGGCAGGCGCGATGAGCGTCGTGCCACCTGACCCGAGACGGGTCGCAGGCGTCGTACCGAGCGCGTCGAGACCGTGTCCTGATGCGCTCTGCACGGGTGAGTCACGTCGGCGTCAAAGGAGCGACGTGTGACCTGTCAGAGCTTGATCTCCGATCTCAGCGGCGTCGAGTCGCCTTCGGCGGCGACAGCTAGGATGCATCTCCTCCGTCGTTTTTCGCGCTACGGCCCTGAGAAGCTGGCGCCGCACGCAGGCGGACCTTGTGTATGCGGCGAACGCTTAAAAAGTGGGTGCTCTACGTCACTTTTTTTGAGTAGATAGTGCCGAGCTGGCCGTGACAGCGATTTTGGTAGTTTTGGGCGGGTTTTGCACCACAGACTTTTTGCAACTAGTCTCAGATTTCTTTTGCGAGTCAGAATAGGGAGAATACGGGGTACGGACTATTTCACAGTAGGGTGATAAGAAACAAGAACCTCGCATGCGACGTTCACAGCTCTCCGAGACAAGAAGCATCCCCAATCATCTGTACAACTTCACCCATTCCTTCTGCTTGTGAAGAAGTTTCCTTACCTAGATACCTTGCTGTGTCGTACCAAGCACACATGCACATGCAACATGTCCTCGATTGCCTTCAGATGGCCCCTGCTCCTAATCGACTTGGAAAAGAGTCCCCTTCCTAAGGTTCATCCCGTTGACCGTGATGCCCTGGTGATACGGTTCCTCTACCCGACCCAGCCGCGCTGCATCCCACACCGCAGCCGCCCCCGATGCCATGGGTGCCACGAGAAAGTTTTACGTGCGCCGGGCTCACCGACAAACCGCCAAGATTCTGGAGATCACTGGCCGATGCTATGCCCGCGCTGACGACACAGCCACGATTCAATGAGAGTGCCGAGGCACAGGCAGAACGGCTACAGCTGCCTCTCCTAGACCCACGCAACGCCGACCACGACAACCACACGGCGATTCGGCGACCCAAAAGCGAAGGCTGCGTAAGGTCGAACCGGTCATGCGGGTCTGGGAGTGCGCCTGTCGCTGTCGGATACGGTCAACCGCCTAGTGGTACAGCTGTGACGCCCCACCTCACGTCACCTCGATCTCGCAGCGTCTCGCCGGCACCCATTCGTGGCCCTACTCCTCCGTGCTGGCGTGCTCCGACAATGTTCTCGGCGACAGTTCACCATTGGGGAAAGCCTCTGCCTCGATGCAGCACAGCAGCGGTGTCGAGGTGTGCGGAGGGGACGCCTCCCCTGATATCAGCTTCGCCGGACTGGGCGGTCTCTCCCACGCTGGTGGGGTTGCCGTCGCCGTCGCTCGCACCAATCGCACGGTCGTGCGAACTGTCAGCACGCCAAGGTCAAGGCCTTCTTCAAAGGGGAGAGAGGGCGGCAGAAACGCCTGCCGAATGCGTGAGCACGGGGCGGATGCCTCGCCGGCAGCCCGGGTGCTCTCTCCTCTGATCCTTTGCGTCACCCGGTTGCACCACAGCGCCTGACATTGGCGTCAGACCCAGTGGACCCAGTCTAGCTACCTCATTCTGTCGCAAGAAGACTGCTGCTTCGTTTCGGCCGCGCCTCCAGTCCCTACCGCCGTGCACTGGCGCCAGCTGCTCCATTCAGATCCCGCACGCGCGATCGGCAGTCGAGTTACAAACCGCAGCTGCGCTGCGTGCACGCACTCGAACCTCGCCGCCGTGGGCATTCCGGCCGAGGTGGTGGAGCACTGAGGGCTCGAGCGCCTCTCCCGGCTGCCGGCGGCTGATCGGCCAGCCTGGCTGCGACGGCTGCGATCAGCGGTGGAGAGGACTGTGTGGTGTTATCCCTAGTGAGCTCCGCGAGGGGTGGGTGAGGCTGGGTCGAGACGCGTGCCACGACTGAGCACTGCGTGCGCTCCGCCGCGCGGCGCCGCGTTGCGGCACCTCGCCCCGCCTCCCACGCGAATGCGTGCGCCCTCCCCGGCCCTCGCCACTCGTTTGCACGGGACGGAGAGGATACTTCGCGCCCTGGTTCCGTGCTGTAGAGCCTACTGTACACTTGATGCAAAGCTTTCCGACGTCATTTTGTTCGCCGCTCCGCGCTCGGCGCCCGCCGCCGCGCGCGCCCGCGCGCCACCCCTTTTGCGCAGCAACCCCTTAAATTTCATGGCCCTCCAAATTCGGGTCGGAGCGTAGGCCGTAGCGGAGTGGGCCCCGAGTTTGAAAACGGCGACGGACGCTTGCGTCCTAGCCGCCAACAACGCCTCCCCGGCGCAGAGGGGCCCCCGGAGGGACGCTCAACCGCTCCACGCCACGCCGCTTGCGGCGGTCCTATTCCCGCTCGCGCGGGGAGCTTCTTATTCTTTTCTCGCGATGTCCACCCCGCCGCGCCGCCGCTCGCGCCGCCTCGCCTCCGCCTCCACCGCCGCCCCCTCGCCAGACGCGCCGCCGCCCGCCCGCCTGCTCGACCTCCCCAGGGAGCTCCTCGAGCGCGTCCTCTCCCGCTTCGACAGCCCCGTCGACATCGCTCGCGTCGCGGCCGTCTCGCTGCTCTTCCACTCGCTCGCGGCGGAGGGCATCCGCTTGTGGGCGCAAGGGCGCGGCTTCGAGCTGCCGGCGCAGCCCGAGGGCGAGGACTGCGCCGTGCGGTGGCTGTGCTATTCTGCGCTGCTGCGCGAGGCCAACCCGCCGGCGAGGGCGGCGGCAGGCAATACGCACAGCGTCTTCATCGACGGCGAGGGGCGGCTCTCGTCGTGCGGCTCTGCGCCGTGGTTCGCCCCAGGGCCACTACTCGGCCACGGCGAGGGCGTGACGCGGCTCAACACGACGACTCTCCTCCCCTCCTCCCCGCTGGGCGACGAGCGTCCTGCGAGCGTGTCGGCTGCAGTCTACCACAGCCTCGCCATGACCGCCGACGGCGTCTGGAGCTGGGGCTATGGAAACTCTGGCCGCCTGGGCCACGGCGACGGGCAACACCAGTGGCAGCCGAAGAAGGTCGAGGCCTTTGCTGGCCAGCGCGTCGTCGCTGTGTCGGCTGGAGTCTACCACAGCGTCGCCATCACCGCCGACGGCTCCGCCTGGAGCTGGGGCAGTGGAGGGCAAGGCAAGTTGGGCCACGGCGACCAGGAGGAGCAACTGCTGCCGAAGAAGGCTGAGGCCTTGGCGGGGCGGCGCGTCGTCGCCGTCTCGGCAGGAGGCGAGCACAGCCTCGCCATCACCGCCGATGGCGCTGTCTGGAGCTGGGGCTCGGGAATATTCGGCCGCCTGGGCCACGGCGACGAGCAGATCCAGCTGCTGCCGAAGAAGACTGAGGCCTTTACTGGCCAGCGCGTCGTCGCTGTGTCGGCTGGAGGATACCACAGCCTCGCCCTCACCGCCGACGGCTCCGTCTGGAGCTGGGGCTTTGGAGCCTCTGGCCGGCTGGGCCACGGCGACGAGCAGGTGCAACTGCTGCCGAAGAAGGTCGAGGCCTTGGCTGACCAGCGCGTCGTCGCCGTGTCGGCTGGAGGCAGTCACAGCCTCGCCCTCACCGCCAACGGTGCTGTGTGGAGCTGGGGCGGCGGATACTGTGGCAAGCTCGGCCACGGCGACGCGCAGGGCCAGCGGCAGCCGCAGCAGGTCGAGGCCTTTGCTGGCCAGCGCGTCGTCGCTGTGTCGGCGGGCGAGCAGCACAACCTAGCAATCACCGCCGACGGCGCCGTGTTTACCTGGGGCAAGGGCGAGGACGGCTGCCTGGGCCACGGGGAGGACCTGTCAAACCAGCTGCTGCCCAAGAAGATCGAAGGCGTGGGCGCTTGAGCAGTGAGGAGGGGTCGTGAAGGCGGCCGGTCGGACGTTCTGAGGGTAAAATTTCCCTTTGGTTTCGAGTTCTATGGCAACGTGAATTTCTTCTTTTTGTGAGGTGTGATCCCCCTGAGTGACCAGAACATGTATAGAGTACATCGGCTCGAAAACGGGGCCTCTCCTTCTACCGTACGTGGCTGGGTCGACAGCGATTGTAGGCTCTGGGGGGAGGCGGGGCCCCCCGGAGGCACCGTGCGCCGCGCAGCAGTGCGGAAACGGGGCCCCGGCTCTACTAGTCTCTACTAGCACCAACTTCCCGATTAAGCTAGGTTAATCAGAGGGCAGATTTGGAGAGATCTCGAGGAGTACATACAGATAGACCCTTCAACCATCAGAAACCTCCAACCTGATCGGTCGTACTGACCGCCGACAGATCACTCCAGACAGCAGACAGGCCGACGTCTGCACACGGCCGGCCGGGCGAGAGGCTTGACACGATCCGACCCTGCGACCCTGACGCTGCTGCTCTAGCTATCAGACATGCGCTGCTGACTGCTGCCACAATGTGCGACCGGTGCTGACCCACTTGGCGGCCTTCCCGGTCAGTGGTGAGGCGCAGTTCAGAGCTGTCGATGGCGCGATGCCGCACTGGTCCCACATCGGTGACACGAGACCACCACGTTTGCCGGTCCAAGAGAGAGGCACCGGCGCTGTCCTGAGAAGGTGCATGATCCCTCTTGACTGCCCATGCGCGCGAGGCTGTGTAGGCATAGCCTCGAGATTGCCAGCAGCCAATCCGAGGCAGTTTGTGACGCGCATTGCGTCCGAAGCGTGCACGCGCTGGAAGGACACCTTCCTACTGGCCGTACGATCAGGTCGTCACTGAATGCCGAAGACTAAGGCCGCGAGCTATGCAGGCGGTCAGTTGAGCAGCATGGCACGGTCAGCAGCGCCGAAAGGATGTCGCAAGGCGTGATAGCATGGCCGCAAGTACGCCGAATTCCCATGGAAACAAGTAAAAAATCGCGCGAAAAAGAAAAAAAATCCAAAAAAATCGGCGCCTGCGGCGGGCTGGGGGACCCCATCTCCCCCCCGCATGGGTACCCCCTAGGGCCCTCGCCTCCCCCCAGAGATTGTAGGAAAATTGGAAACCACTTGACGGTCGCGGCCTTCCGACTCGCGCCTCCGCCTCACTGGCACTATTGTAGCCCTGGCCGGTGCGCGTGCGGAGTTGAAGTTCCGGAGTGAAAATTCGAACGCGTTCTCTCACGGTGACCAAAAAATGTCCACCTCAGAGGCACCTCCGGAGGCAGGCCGCCGCACGCCGGCGACACAGCTACAGCTCCAGCTGTCGAGCTGACCCGCAGCTCCTCTCAGAGCGGGAACTGTGACGAAAGTTGACTGAGGCGGTTGTCAGGAATCATCATACGGATCACATGGTGACTCTCTCATGACGGGAGACCGCCCGACCACTCCTGGGTGGCACTGCCACCGGTGTCGCTCGACGTCCTGTCGACAGCGTGCCGACAGCGACACAGACCATGTGGGACGCGTCGAGTATCGACCTCTACTGCTTACCCAGCCTTCGAGTGTATCCTGGCTGTGGTCCCACACCCACTGGTGTCCATCTCAGAGACCGCAGGAGGTCATGAGGGTCGATGGGAGTGCCAACCCCACAATGCCTAAAGACCCAGCCCAGTACTGTGGACCCGCACGCCGCCTCTCACCGTGGCCACGCACGCCTCACCGGCCACCCAGGCCGGCTCATCAGCACATGGGGGAGGAAGGGTCACACAAGACGACTGGGCGACACCCCGACACCCCGACTGGCGCGCATGCGGCCGCCGTGCGCCCGCCGCGGTGAGCACTATACAGAGGCGGTGTACCGCCAGCCTCGTGGAACGGCACAGTACAGCCGGCGATCGTGCACGGGCTCCACGCGTCTGCCCGCCTAGCTGAAGAGCGCGAGGCAGCGGCACTCGATGCTCCTGCGCGGCGGCGCGGCCGCCTCGCCGCCGCCGCCCGTGTCGCCGAGTGCGGTGTGGAAGACGAAGCGGGGCCCCTCGAGTGGCGCGGCAGTGCCGTCGTACGTGTAGAAGAGCAGCGCCTCCTCGTGCCGCATGTGCGGGTAGTAGTACCAGGCGTGCCGCTCGGAGAAGCCAACCTGCGGGGACGCGCCGCGGAGGGGCCAGCTCGGCGCGTCGAGGAGCCTCCTTCCTCGGTGCCAAGGCGGCCCCGTGCTGTTGGAGCCAACGAGCGAGATCTAGCCGAGATGTGTCTGAGATGAGTCCGAGATATGGCCGAGATATAGCCGAGATATAGCCGAGATATAGCCGAGTAGCCGCAACCCCGTTGTTGAAGCCGACGAGGGGCGGCTCGGCCTCGTCCATCACCAGCGCGTACGTGAACGTGTCCTCGGCTGCGACCGTGGACGCGTCCAGGACCTGTGCAGGCAGGAGCGCGTAGCCGAGCACCTGCTGAGCAGGGCAGGAAGAGAGGATGCACACGCGGGCCAGACCTCTCGTGGGCTACAAACGTACAAACGTACACACGCATCTAGTGCCGCCGCACGGCTAGCGGCTGCGCGCGCACTGGCTGCTCGGCGTCGATCGAGCGCCTAGCTCGTTGACATTGCATCGGCCGTGATCGTCTGCAGGGCAGCGCGGTGCGCTCGCTGGCGACGCAGCGGCACCACACGTTGACGATCGACCAGCGCCGGTGCGCGATCTCGCGCTCTGACACCACGCCCGCCTCCGCCAGCTCACGGAGCTTGCGAGGACCGTTCTCCGGTGTGTAGTCGGCGTGCACGCGCTGCACCGCACCGTGCGCCTTTGCCTCGGCGGCGTTGCGCGCGCCGCCGCTCTCCTACAACAGTGATGATCTGTCATGGCATGATGATATCATACACGTAAGACCACTCCTCGCCACTCTCCTTGTTAAGCGCGCTCGAGTCGCGGCGCATGTGCTGAAAGACAAACACGTCCTCCGCGCCACAGGCCGCTCGGACCAGCTCTGCCGTCTCCGGGTAGTACTGCGATCGGATCAGGTCGTCGTTGTAAAAGTCGACCAAGGCTGACGGCCAGTGGCGAAGCTCGAAGCCACTGCGGCGGAGCGTCAGCGGCGATGCTGCCTGCCGCGCGTCGCGAACCTCGAGCGTGCGTGGGTCCTCCTCATCGTGCAGCGTTGAGCTGTCACCTGGGAGGAGGGATGATGGTGACGAGAGGCTGTGGAGTCATGTATGAACCCACGCGCAGCACACAGAGGCAGTGTAGAGCAAAGGCGGTGTGGAGTGACAGCGCACCCCGCCATGGCTCCTGTGGGAAGATGCCGCCGATCTTCTCCCAGTGCGCTGGTGTGACGACACGTCCGTTCTGTGTGCCACGAGGCGGCCGAGCAGGGTACGTGAGCCGCGTAACGACTGGCCGCGCGAGCGAGCTGAGTGAGCGACGACCAGTAGAGCGCGCAGCCCACTCGTATCACGGTCTGGGTTTTTTTCTTTTTTATCCTTCAACAAACCACCCAACCCCTTTTTACTATCGAAAACATAAAAGTTGGGAAACCGGAGCGCACAGAGAAAACGGGTCGGACTCGGGCTCGGAGGAGGCCCTGCAGGCGGCGCCACTCTAAAATATGCGTCGGCCGTCTCGCCTCGCAACAGCATCAGAGTGCCATGCGCGGATAGAAGCGCTGACGACGGGGGAGGAGCTGTGACACCGCTCTCGAGGGGACGCCCAGCCGCCGAGGGCTCTCCTTCTCCCGCCTCGCCGCCCGAGGCCCCTGTGTCGCCGCTCAGACGATGGCCTTGTCCCACACGCACGCTCCGCAAATCTACATGTACGGCTTGACTAGCTCGAGCTGGCGCTCCTCGCACGCGTGCACGAGGTGGTCCGCCCAGCCGGGGGCGGCGACGCCCAGAACCCTCTGCGGGCCTCGGTTGAAGTAGAAGAAGTATCCGTCGCCCGCGTGCTTGGGGACGTCCGGGCTGACCGTGCAGAACATGGTCGTCGCGGCCCCCTGCGGGATGCTCTTGCGGAAGGGCGCGAAGGAGAGCGACTTGTAGAAGAGCGTCCCTGGAGGGGGGAGGCGGGGGTGGAGGGGGCGAGGAGGGTGGAAAGAGAGGTCGGGAGAGGGGTGGCGGGGAAGGTGGCGGAGGGAAGAACGTGCCCATCCCCTCGTTTTTGGCGAGCAGGCCGGTCTCGATCACGCCGGGGTGGACGGCGCACGCGTAGATGTTGGCGCCGCGGTATTTCTCCTGCAGGTAGCGGGCGTGGAAGGCGTCGATCGCCTTGGTGACTGCATAGGTGCCGAGCTCGTGGTACTCCTGCGTCAGCGCGGCCGGGGACGCGGGCGGGGTCAATGCGCGCCCGCCCCGTGGAGACTTGCGGGAGCGCTGGCGGCGCATCGCAACCGTCGCGTGTGATGGCGGCGCGCCTCCTTGGGCACGGGGCACTTGCTCAGGTCGATGGAGGTGCACATGGTGCAGGCGGCGGACGAGAGGATGACGATGCGAGCCTCGGTCGCGGTCTTGGCGGTCTCCTGCGACATCGGGTCTCCTCGACTCACGGCGGGGCGGTCTCGGTGGCGCGAGGGGTGAGGGCGGCGGCGGCGGCAACGGCGGGAGGAGGGCTCCTCGATCTTTGGCAGCAAAAGCTCCGACATTAGGAAGTGGCCCAGGTTGTTGGTCGCAAACATCGACTCGTACCCCTGCTTGGAGGGCTCCCACTGGGGCGGCGCCATGATTCCCTACCATCGCAACGGTGCGCTCGCGAGACTCGACGCAGGAGTCTTACCACGCGGGTGGTCGCACCGCGTTCAGGATGAGGTAGTGCAGCGGCAGCCCCAGCTTGAGAAAGTCGGTGACGAACGGCTTGACGGTGGTGAGGTCGGAGATGTCGACCTGCAGCAGGATCGCCTTGCCGGTGGTCTTGCCGCAGCACCTCGGAACGAGTGAGGTTGTTTCGGTGAGCGTGGTGCCTGTGTCTATGTGGCTGTTACTACCCGGGAGGCTGGCACGCTCGTGCGCTCGAGAGGCGTATGGACCTGTCCCGGGTAGGTCGGACCTGTGGACGTGCCCGTCCTCGCAGGTGTGCGTGCCCTCACCCGAGTCGAGCTTGTCGAGGGCCTTCTGAGCCTTCTCGAGGTTGCGGACAGCCCAAATGACCGTGCAGCCGTAGTGCCTACTCGAACGCCAGAACCGTAGTTAGCCTCGAAACAAGGGAAGCTGGCCTCAGGACCGCACGCACATGAGGACACGCGCGTTTTGCAGACCGAGGCCGCTGTTCGCTCCCGTGATGATCGCCACCTTCCCGCTCAGCGCGTTCCGGTCCTTGCCGAGGGCCTCCACTGCGACTTCCTCGACCGTCTTCCCATTGTTCGTAACCGCTTCGTACGCGATTTGGCCGAACATGGTGAAGAATTGGCGGATTGAAGAGACAGCGCGGAGGCTGGGATCGAAGAGGTACTGGTGAGCCATTCGGAGCGCCATTTTGAGGGCGAAGAGCTCCGTGCGGAGCCTCTGCATCAAGGGCATGCTGCTACTCGTGCTCGCTACTAGTGCTCGCCGCTGCTGGAGCGTGCGCTGCTGCGAGGTGCGCTCGCTACTAGTGCTCGCCGCTGCTGCGAGCGTGCTCGCCGCTGCTGCGAGCGTGCTCGCCGCTGCTGCGAGCGTGCTCGCCGCTGCTGCGAGCGTGCTCGCCCGGCCGTAATCAGCGACGACAGGGGATGGGAAAAAAAAGAGCAAGGCTAGCGACAGCTTTGCCCTTGTTTGTGCCCTTGGCACCGTGGAGTGCCGGGGGGGGCGACAGGGAGGATGTGGCCCTGAGTTATGTGTACGCCGACTCAGGGTGTGTGGCAGCCAGCTGGCTGTGTGTCTTGTGAGCCTGTTTGTGTCTGTGTGTCGCTCGTGCGTGTCGTCATCATCTGTCTAGCGTCCACCCATACCGCGTTGGTGTCCAGTCCGAGCCTGGCTGTTCTTCACCTTTCTACCTACCTACCTACAGCTTTCATGAATTTAGTGTTTCCCCAAGGAAGCATGGAAAGGCGGCTATTTTCGACGCTTACTGGCACCAATTGTTAAATAAATTTCAAGTTGACGTCCGTCCATCTGACGTCTTGCTCGTGACACCCACACCCGGCCTGTCTTGCTTCAGCAGTGGGCTCGCGCACCGATGCAGGGGCGGACGAATGCCCAGCGGCTCTTCGACGAAGCTAAGGACGACGGCGACGGCGACGACTTTGAGTCTGATCGCCCTCCGCGCGGTCGGAGGGAGGGGCCAGACGCCGGAGCAAGCAGCGCGCCCGGCGCCGCCGCAGCTGCGCGAGCCTCCGTTGCTGCCCGGTACGATGAGCGAGCTGCCACGAGCCGCGGCACTGCCACGAGCCGCGGTGGCGGCTCCAGCGCCGCATCGCGGCATATGCGCGAGGCGCCCTGGAAGCGCATGGGCGGCGCCGGCTATACCGCGGCGGGATTCTCGCGATACAGCAACGCTGGCATTGCCGGCCAGCCAAAGCTGCGCCACGTCAAAAACAACAGCAAGCCGCAGCACTGCGAGAGCTGTGGCGACGAGATCCCGGCGAGCGCGGGAATGCTCGGCTGGATGGCAACCGAGGTGAAGAAAGCCTATGGGTGCTCGACTGAGTACAAGAGCGTCACAAAGTGGTACCACATTGCATGCTGCCCGGAGGGTGACCCCCGCGCCCCGTCGTCGACGCCAGCTGCAGACTCACAGTTCGTGCGCGACATCAAGAATGCGCCGCCTCCCAAGGTCACCCAGAAGCGCGCGCGCTCGGTCGGCGAGGGCGGGAAAGCCAAGGCCAAGAAGACGGAAGAGTTCAGCGAGGAGCTCTTGGCGCTCAGCATAGGCGAACTGGAGCGCCTCGTCGGTGCCAGACTTCTCGTCGTGTACCTAAAGCAGCACCTCGGCTACCTCGCCGTCAAGAAGTCTGGCACGCAGCAGGAGATGCTCATGCGCCTCATCACCGCCATGCGAGCGCATGGCATCACGATGAAGCGCCAAAACGCAGACATGTCTCAGGACTTTCGGGGAACCCTCTATGGCCCCGACGGTGAGAAGCTGTTTGAGGCTGCGCATGTGCCCAAGGTCGCGCGCTACTGAGAGAGAGAGAGAGAGAGAGAGAGAGAGAGAGAGAGAGAGAGAGAGAGAGAGAGAGAGCGAGAGAGAGAGGTGCCATATACCCATATAAGGCTCGTTGTGCGAGTATATGGGCCACGATGTCTCAAATATGAGGGGTTTTGACTCCTACCAGCTCGGGAGGCCAAGGCAGGGATGGCAGGCTGGGCCACGGCGACCAGGAGCACCAGCTGCTGCCCAAGAAGGTCGAGGCCTTGGCAGGCCAGCGCGTCATCGCTGTGTCGGCGGGGGAGGCGAACACAGCCTCGCCCTCACCGCCGACGGAAGTGTCTGGAGCTGGGGCTTTGGAGTCGAAGGCCAGCTGGGCCACGGCGACATGCAGAACCAACTGGCGGGAGAGAAGCCGGGGGGACCTCACTGGTGTCGAGCGGGCGGATGGCTTCTCTTGCCACCCGCTCAGGAGGCTTCGTTGTGTTCCCCCCGTCCGCCAGCGAGACTGGCTCAGTCGCTGGCGGCCGCAGTCTTCTGTGAGGGGCAACTTTGCGCTGGCCACTGCTCGCGCGGTCCTGACTGACATCGGGCGTGACTGCTGCTGCGGCTGGCTCCTCTAGCGCCTGCAGAGAGTCCAGAGAGTCTTTCATCAGAGACGCACCGGACGCGTTGCTACGTGTGCCAGCCGCTTCTGGCCTTCTATTCGTGGTTGTGCATGTGTCATGTGATAGGGTGGGGTGGGGGCGGAGGCGCCGGCGGCGCGCACACCCCGCCCGCACACGCCGTCGCCGCAGGCCCACTCCACAATCCATATTTTCCAATACACATAAGAGAGAGTACGTACATATAAGTAGAACAGGAGGCTGGCACTACGCTCTGTCAATCTGGCGAGAGCTCGAGAGGGGACGGCTCTCGGCTGACCTGTACAGAGCCCGGTGCGCGAGAGGGCCCGCGCACAGTGTCATGTCTCATGTCACATGTGTGCGGACCCCGTGCAGTCACTACTGACTCGGACTCAAGGAATTTGAGAGATTGCTCTCGCTGATCCACACACTGAGCGCTATTTGTAGACGAGAGGTTCAAAAGACGAACGGGTTCTTCGGCAACAGTCGGCTCGATGGCCAAACCGTGCCAGAGCCACCAAACTTCCCGATGTGCTGCTGCTTGGTGGCAACGGCTCGGCCCAGGAGGTAGGAGGCCATTGCCGTAGAGACGAGCAGCGCATTCAAGTGCGAGGTGGGCATATTGTGACCTGCGTTGGTTGGGGTCGCACGTGAGTGGAGCGGCAGCGGGAAAGTGGCGTGCGTGCTCAGGTGAGCGTCGTCGTGGCGAATGTCATGACTGGTGGTGTGGCGATGGTATGAGCGTCGTTTGTTTGGCTGCTGCCGGCGTGTGGTGGCAGTTGTGGCGCTGAAGCAGAGGCCGCTGCGGTGAGGGCTCTCCTTAGCGACACGCGCTGAGAGCAAGGATGACAGGGGTATAGAAACTTCCGCCCTTTTTTGATCAAACGCAGCGGGGTTTATTTTCTTCGCGCGGTGCCTCAAATCCGAGGCGAGGGCCCTAGAGGATACCCATGCGGGGGGGAGATGGGGTCCCATGGCCCGCCGCAGGCGCCGATTTTTTCAGTTTTCTTTTCTGTTTGGCGCGGTTTTTTACTTGTTTTCATGGGAATTCGGCGATTGCGGCCATGCTATCAAGCCTTGCGACAGCCTGTCGGCGCTGCTGACCGTGCCCTGCTGCACAATTGATCACCTGCATAGCTCGCGGCCTTAGTATCAAGCATTCAGTGACGACCTGATCGTACGGCCAGTAGGAAGGTGTCCTTCCAGCGCGTGCACGCTTCTGACGCAATGCGCGTCACAAACTGCCTCGGATTGGCTGCTGGCACTCTCGAGGCTATGCCTACGCAGCCTCGCGCGCATGGGCAGTCAAGAGGGACCACGCACCTTCTCAGGACAGCGCCGGTACCTCTCTCTTGGACCGGCAAACTTGGTGGTCTCGTGTCACCAATGTGGGACCAGTGCGGCATCGCGCCATCGACAGCTCTGAACTGCGCCTCACCACTGACCGGGAAGGCCGCCAAGTGGGTCAGCACCGGTCGCACATTGTGGCAGCAGTCAGCAGTGCATGTCTGATAGCTAGAGCAGCAGAGTCAGGGTCGCAGGGTCGGATCGTGTCAAGCCTCTCGCCCGGCCGGCCGCGTGCAGACGTCGGCCTGTCTGCTGTCTGGAGTGATCTGTCGGCGGTCAGTACGACCGATCAGGTTGGAGTTTTCTGGTGGTTGGAGGGTCTATCTGTATGTACTCCTCGAGATCTCTCCAAATATGCCCTCTAATCAACCGTAATCATTCGGGAAGTTGGTGCTAACGGAGACTAACGGAGCCGGGGCCCCGTTTCCGCACTGCGGCGCGGCGCACGGTGCCTGGCGACCGCGAAGTGGCGGTGGGCATGCTCCCATGTTGCCGACGCGGCGCCGGAGTGGCCGGCGCTGCTCGCCGCGACCACGACGGATACTCTGATACTCCGGGCCGACCCGTCCTACCCGACGGTGGCACTCTTCCACGTCGCTCGCTCACGCAGAGAAAAATTCTGAAACGGCGTGCAGCAGAGTCACCGACGAGTCGGTCCGCGTGCCTCCTCGTGTCCCGCACCGTTCTCACACATCCATAAACTCACTTTTGCCTCACTGAAGCGATGCCTGAAATCCTGTCCACCCCCTATTTTCACAGCACACCCCGGTCACCCCGGTCGAAGGACACGCGCACACTCCGTCGCGCGGCCACAAGTGCGCTCTCTCCATGGCCCAGCCGAGTCCGCGGCCGGGGGTGCGCCAGGGAGCTCAGAGGAGGCGGTACTCGCCCGCGATGACAAAGCACATGCAGTCGACTTGCATGCCGTCCAGCGCCCGCCGGACCGCCGCGGCGTCCGCCCCGAGCGCCGCCGACGCGGCCGCCAGCTGGGCGAGCGTGGCGCCCCCGCGCTCGCGTAGCAGCGCCTCCACGTGGGAGCGGAGGGCGGGGTCGGGGTCGGGGTGCCGGCCGGCGGCGTGCGCCGCATCCCGCGGCGGCGGCGGGCGCGGAGACGGAGGAGCGCCCGACGGCGCGCGCGGAGATGGAGGGTGGCTTGGGTGCCGCAACGTGCGCAGGCGGCCGCGGTAGGCGAGGGAGCAGAGGGCGGCAAGCTCGGCGAGAAGGCGGCGCGTCTCTGGCAGCTTGCTCTCGCGCTGCAGCTCGTCGGCGTGCGGGCGGAGGTGGGGCGAGCGCTCCGCGGCGTGCGACCTGACGAGATGTAGCCGAGATGTAGCCGAGATGTAGCCGAGATGTAGCCAGCCGAGATCTAGCCAGCCGAGATCTAGCCGAGAGACGGCGTGCGGCCTGAGCAGCGCCGCGCGGCTGCCGAGCACGTTCGCCTCGCAGAAGTGCAGAAGGAGCGCCCCCTGCCGCGCGAAGCGCTCGCTGCCCTTCGGCGGCTCGAAGCGGGTCGCGTGGCCGAGAGCCGCGTCGCGCACCGAGACGGCCTCGCCGAGCCTGACACGCGGCGGCGGGTCGTGCGCGCCTGAAACAAGGAACGCTTGCGGCTAAGACCGGGGGGGGGGAGACCAAGAGAAGAGGGGAGGTTGGACGGCGGGTCGTGTGTGCGCGCCGTGCGTCCAGCGCACGCACAGCACGGCGCCGGTGGCGTCGCCGAGGTAGAGGGAGCGAGAGAGGCGGCCTGAAGAGAGACAGTCCTCGTGCAATTCGGCAGTTCTGTTTGTGGCGGCCGAGGTAGAGGGGGCGCGAGAGGCGGCCGAAGACGACAACTACGCCGGGCCGCGCGTGCGGTGTTTCTTTTTGCGGCGGCCGAGCTAGAGGGACAGAGGCGCTCCTGGGCCATCTGGAACGGGCGCCGTCGCGAGCAGCAGCAGCCCCACCGTGTCCACCTCCTCGCCCGCGCCGCGCGCCGCGAGGCCCGCCAGCGGCGTGAGCCTCCGCACGCGCGCGGCGGCGGCGGCCGAGACCGGTTCCGCCGTCTTCATGCGCGCCCAGCTCGCCGATCTCGCTACGAGCTCGGCCTCGCCGCCCGCGCCGCGCCGCAGCCGTGCGCCGACCACCTTGAAGGCCGCACCCTCGGCAAACTCGTCCGCCTGCCCCGGCGCGTCGAGCCAGACGGTCGCCAGACAGACCCTGTCGACCCCTCCGCCGCCTCCGCTCAGGTCGGACACGCGCAAGTTCAGCACCCATGACGCGCGAGGCCGAGCCGCCCACTCCTCTTCGGCGCCTCCCGCTCCTCCTCCGCCCGCCTCGCCGCCGTCCAAGCTCGCCTGCTCCCTGCGCCAGCTGAGCGCCTCCGCCTGCTCCTGCAGCTTCGACTCGTACCCGGCCGCGGTGAGCCAGCCGGCGCCTGAAGATGTACTGGGGAGAGTTGAAGTGGAGCACCGTGAGAGAAGCGGTGCACAGGTAGGGGTACACGGACAGCACTGTCATCTGGGGATAGTAGGAGTGGAGGGTGTTCCGGGTAGTCGACTCATGGTAGCGGCGGGATGTGAGGAGCGATGGACACCGGACCTCGTCCGGCCGCGTCTCCCTCGGGCCGCTCGTACACGCGCAGGCCGTAGCGGCGCTCGACTCGCACGTGGACGCACGGCGCCTGGCCGCCCCCCTCCAGCAGCGAGCCGAGTGCGACGCGGAAGCCGCACGAGGCCGTCTTGCCCAACTTCGCGTCCCAACTCGCACGCCGCACGCCATTCGCGCTCAGCTTGAGCGCCGGCAGCGGCAGCGCCGGCGCATCCACGCCGCCGCCCTCCCCCGAGCCAGCTGCGCCGCTTCCTCCCTCGCCTCCGCCGCCGCCTCCTCCTCCGCCTCCGCCTCCGCCTCCGCCGCCTCCGCCTCCGCCGCCTTCGCCGCCCCCGCCGCCTCGGCCTCCGCCTCCGCCTCCTCCGCCGCCTCCTTCGCCGCCGCCTTCGCCTTCTCCCTCGGAGGTGATCCCGCACCCGCTGAGCCGGAGCTTTGTGCCGACGGCGACCCTCCCCTTCCGGATCTGCCGCAGGAGGTGAGCGTCCGGCGCCTGCGTCGTGAACGCGCCGACATGAGGGCGGGGAGGCGGTCTTGTGCAGTGCGTGCAGAGCACCGCGTGAGTACGAGGAAGGCGAAGACAGCGGACTCCGCTGAATACGGCCGAATACAGCGGAGTCCGTGCCTCCCGCGCGAGTTGCAAGGCATGACTACGTCTTCCGCTTCTAGCGTCAAGCGCCGCCCACAGGCATCGCCACCCGTCAGTCAGCTCGAGCGCCCCGTCCTCGCACCGCACCGCCGCGACGCAAAGCACCATGCCGACGCTCGGTGGGTCGGTGCCGTCCTCGATGCGGGAGAGGACCGAGCGGTGGCGCTGCACTCGCTCGCGCCGGTGCCGGTGCGCCAGCTGGCCCACCAGCCCCGCGACGCTGAAACCGCCGCCGCCCAGCGCGTGCGCGAGGCAGCGCTGCTGGCTGGCGAGCTTCCACACGACCAGGCGGTGGTGGCTCTGCAGCCAGTCGAGCTCGAGCTCGGACGCGGCCCGCTCGCCGATCTCCGCGCCCAGCAGCACGCGTAGCGCCCGCCAGTACGCCGCGTCGGCGTCCGGGCCGCTCGCGCCCTCGGCGGCGGCCTCTCCCGAGCAGCGGTCGGCCACCACGCCAGCGAATCGGTATGATGCCGCCGAGCGGCTGGTCACGCCGCCCGCCTCCACGAGGGTGCTGTCGAGAGCGGTGCAGTCCCGCTGCGCGAGCTCGCGCCGCCGAGCGAGCTCGCGCGGCGACGGCAGCTCGCGGTCACCGAGCAGCTGCCTCAGGCTCTTGCGCGGCGGCGCCGCGCCCGGAGCGCTCACGGTCGCAGGCGCGGGCGGCGGCAGAGGCGGCGGCGGCACCGGGCCGAGCCGCCGCCGCTTCGGTGGCCGCAGGTAAACGGCGCCGGGCTCGCAGAGCGCGATCATGGAGGCACTGTCCCCGTCGAGGATGGGGATCGGGGGCCGCGCCAAACATGGCCGGTTTTCTTCTTTCTCGTATTCCGCGGATCAGCCGAGTTTTTTTTTAACATTATATGCCCGCAAACCGCTCCCGCGCCAACGCGCCGCGCCGCACGCCGCCGCCGCCGGGCGGCGAAGTCCCAAAGCCACACGACAGAACGTGCCCAGCTACCCCTTATTACTCCGTCGCGCGTGACCGCGAAGCACAGCACACACGTGACAAAGTCGCGCGCCGCGATGCCGTTCGTGTTTCCTGCCATCGGCGGCGACCGGGTCGAGGGCGAAATCGGCCACTCAAAACGGCGCGGTCAACCCGGGTATTCCCAGACTGTGCCGAGTCGAGATGGTGCCGCGCTCGAGTGGATGGATGGATCTCGTAAAGCGAGAGACGAGACGACGGGAGCGCCGCCCGCGCGCGGGCCGCCGCGGGGAAGAGCGAGTGGCTTGCCGGCGACCACAGCGCCGCCGCCCGCCGGACCAGCGCCACCGCCTCGCCCTCGCCGCGTTTCCTCTGTTTCGTCTACTCCCTGCAAAACGTTTCGGATCCGTTACACCCCGTGTCGACCTGCTGAGGGTTGTATTGTCGCTAGGGCACAATGGTTAAGGTCGCAGTCCCATTGGTCGCTTGGGCTGCGGTTGCCTCGGCGTTCTCTGCGGTGCCACAGGCAGGCAAGCCGCACATTGTCCTTATTCTCGCTGATGACTACGGGCACGCAAATCTGGGCTACAATGCCCGCAAGACCGGCAACAAGCAGCTCATCGCCGAGACCAACACGCCGAATCTGGACGCGCTGATTGATGATGGTGTCTACCTCAGTCAGCACTACTCGTACGCCGTCTGCGCGCCATCGCGCTCATCACTCCAGAGTGGCCGCTTCGGCTCGCACGTGAATATGTTCAACACGGCGCCAGAGGCAGTGAACTCTGCGGATCCGATCAGCGGGTACGCTGGTATACCCGTCGCGATGACTGGCATGGCAGAGGTACTCAAGTCAGCTGGGTACCGCACGCACGGTGTGGGCAAATGGGACATTGGAATGGCAACTCCGGCGCACTCACCCTTTGGAAAGGGGTACGAAACGTTCATTGGGTATTACCAGCACGCCAACGACTACTGGAACAAGCGAGGCTCGTTCTTAGCGACTGGCGAGGTCGACATGTGTCTCAGCCTGATGCTTGACTTCTTCTCGTACAATGAGACGTACCGCGGTGGTAACCCGAATCCTGGCCAGGTGACAGACTCTTGCAAATGCCAAGAGGGCACCGAAACCGGGTGTCAGAATGGCGGTGACGAAAATACATATCCGTCCTGCTTTGAGGAGACCATCTTTATGAACGCGGCGATGGACAGGATCCGCGCCCACGACACATCGCAACCTCAGCACCCTCTATTCCTTTTCCACTCTTTTCACTTTCTTCACACGCCGCTGGAAGCGCCAATCGCGGCAATCCGTGAGCTCAACCAAACGATCCGTGACAAGGGCGGTGATCCAATTAATTTGGAGAGCCGATTGATGTACAACTCCATGGTGCTGCTCATGGACAAGATTGTTGGCACAACGAAGTTCTCATGCAGACCGTCGACACCTGCTCCCTTTACCCGAACCCAACACCAGATGTTGAAGAGGTGTTAATCCCCGCCCTCGACTTGCCGGTGGATATCAACGCGTCATCCCTCGAGCAATGGCTCGATGCCACTTGCGAAGAGGGATACGAATTGGGCCTCGAGGCGTATGGGTCGGAGCCGAACCCCGACAACGTCGTACCGTGTGAGGGCTGCTAACAACGTGATGGATACCTTCAACCTTCTGCGGCGGAATGCCCCCGCACTTGATCTCTTCATGCCTTTACCAACCCCACCAACCAGAATGCGCGGTAACCCCCCCCTCCCCCCCCCTGAATGCTGTGGAGTGATTTTAACCCCTCCGCCCCCCCCCCCTCACTCCTCTTTTGGTAGCCCGGTCGAACACCCCGGGTCGCGATTTTGGCAAGTGAATACGGGCGCTTTTTGACGATGAAATACGAATCTACTGCCCGAGGGAAACACATAGACACCCACATGGTTGACCAACCCATAGTGTGTGAGGGTCAGTGTTCACATTCACACCCCACTGGCACCGTGGCACTGTACAGTGTGCAGACCGACATACAGCACGCACAATGTAGCACTTACTAGTAAGCGCGCGCATCCCCCGCGCTCGCCCTCCACGGCCGCTGAGCGCTGAGCGGCGCAACACGCACATGCCTCCCTCGCGCGCGCTAGCGGCTCGGCGAGGTCGGCCGGCGCGAGCACAACCCCAAGACGATGCCGTAAGCGGGTGGCTGCGCCGCCGCTGCGCCGTCGGGGCGACGGCGACGGCGGCGACGGCGGCAGCGGGCCGGGCAGCGGCGGTGGCGGTGGCGGTGGTAAGGGCGGCGGCGTCGAGGGCGGCGGCGTCGAGGGCGGCGGCGGCGACGGCGGCGGCGGGCTCGGTGGGGGCGGCGACGGTGGAGGCGGACGCAGGAGTGTGCGGCGACGAGTACCGGCAAATCCGGCCCGGTGTGGCCGGCAACTGCCTAGCGCTGGCCTGTGACCGGCGCCGCGGTGGCGGAGAAGGCGTCTCGCCGCCGTGGCGGCGGTCGGCAGGCGCGAGCGTGATGGCCATCGTCCTGGGGTAGTCGACGGCCCCCGGGGGCGACGGGGGTGCTCCGGCCGCAGCGGCCGAAAACGGGGGTCGGTAGTACGGTGTAGTAATGAAGTGATGCACTTGATGCAAGGGTGCCATTGTGCTCTACTATAAAAGTTGTGTAAGATGCCCAAGTCTCAGACCCTGAATCCTTAGCGGAGCTGAGTTCTGACGGTGTGAACACGAGCAACCGGAGTGACGACCGGGACCGGGCCGCACGCCGGGAGTGCCCCGACTAGCAGTGACGGGCGCGGACGAGCGAATGAGAGGTCGCTATCTGTGGGAGATGTGTTGTTAGAGACTAGGACTGCCTATCTCTCGCTGAAAGGTACCTCTCATTCGCTCGTCCGCACCCGTCACCGCTCACGGAGTGCTCCGCGTGCCGCACCGGCCGCCGCCGGCCGCCGGCCGCTCACGGTAACGGACAGTGTTACTACTCCGCAACGTTGAGCTGGATCAAACTGAATAGTGCTCCTGAAAGCCCTCTCTCTGGGCTCTGCCACACAGTAGCAGCTCACGACTAGCAGCTGTTGTGGCTGGGTATTTGTAGCCATTTTTATAGGCTTCAACTGGTCCCAAAATAGTACTTAGTAGCAACACCTCATGAAAATCAGTCAAAAAAGCCCCAAAAAATCGGCGCCTGCGGCGGGCCTCCTGGGGCTGCGCCCCAGACCCCCCTTGACTGGGGGGACCCCCCCCAAGAGCACCCCCGTCGCCCCGGGGGCCCGTCGACTACCCAGGGCCATCGTGCGGCAAAGTGCGGCGACATTTTTTTCTTCCACCACTCCTCAGATTTTAGATTAGGACGCTGTGGGCCCTCGGGGGGGGGGGGGGGGGGGCTGAGGCGGTGCTTGCCGCGCCTGCGCGGCCGTGCACGTCGCAGTGTTGGCGCAGCGCCCCGCGGCACTCGTGCGGTGTGTTTCGTCTCTGTGTGAAAACTGTGTTATTCTCTTGTCATGCAAATGCAATAAAAAAGAACCTCATCACGCCACTCGCGCCTGCAGCTCGTACACTGGAGGCACGTCCACGGCGGCGCCGAGCTTGACGGTCGCCTCGAGCTGCAGCACGCTCCCGGCGGCCACGGGCACGGGGCGCGGGGCGAGCAGCGCGAGCACGGTCTGCCAGTGGCTCTTTTGCCCTTCGCCGCGCGGGCCGCGCGACTCGACGACGATGTCCCCCTTTGGGTCGAGGACGAGCCGTGGCCAGAGCGCGACGCCCGAGAGCCCGTGCGCCGCCCCGCCCGCGACCGCGCGCGCCTCCTCCTCCTTGGCGCCCTCCCGCCGCAGCTCGTCGTAGTACACCTTCTCGTTGGCGTCGATCCGCGCCGCGGAGATGTCGAAGCGGAGCGGCGGCGACGGCCTCCATACGCCGGGCGGCGGCAGCGGCTCCGCAAAAGAGATGTCCTCCCAAAGCAGCGGGTCGGACATCAGCTCGAGCGTCTCGTCGCGGCAGTTGAGACGCACCTACAGCCATGTCTCCCAATGTCTCCCCATGTCTCGCCATATCTCGTGAGACGCGCCCTCCGCATATCTCCGCATATCTCCCCCCTATCTCCCCCTATCTCGTGCGACGCGCCGGCTCGCCGCCGAGCTTGCCCCAGTCGAACTGCGGCGGGCCGAGCGCATAGTGCAGCGCGTACGACGCGGGCGCGGCTGCCTGTTCACAGCTGCTCCTGTGAAGAGGCGCTGTTCACAGGTGCAGCGCGTACAGTCCGGGCGCGGCAGCCGTCTGGCAGCGGCAAGGGATCCAAGAGGACTCCTCGAAGGGCCGCTTGAGCAGCCGCGCCTGGATCCGACATGGGTCCGAGATGCGGCCGAGATGCAGCCGAGATGCGGCCGAGAAGAGCCGAGATGCGGCCGAGATGCGGCCGAGATGCGGCCGCTTGAGCAGCCGCGCCTGCGCGTCACGAATGGTTGCGTGCAGGCCCTCCTAAGTAAAGAAAAAGATATGCCATGTCCGCCTTGCGTTTGTGTCCTAACATCGAAGGCTAGCTCGAAGAAAAAGGGAACAGGCGACTGTTCCTCTCCGCGGCAGAGTAGCGGCAGTCGTCTGGATGTAGTCTGGTAGTGGTCTAGTGAAGGCCCTCCTCGGAGGCGATCGAGCCGACAATCTCCGCCACCGCGAGATCCGCCTTCTCGGGCAGCGTGGCCGCGGTAGAGAAGCCTACAGCCGAGATACAGCCGAGATACAGCCGAGAGTGCAGCCGAGAGTGCTAGCCGGCGGAGGGTCGAGAAAAGCCCTCGATCACTTCGACCACGCCCGCCGGAACGTCCGTCGCCTGACGACGGCCTTCCGAGATCAGCCGAGATGAGCCGAGATGAGCCGAGATGCGCCGAGATGGGCAGGTCCGTCGCCTGGCTGACGGCCTTCCGAGATCAGCCGAGATGAGCCGAGATCAGCCGAGATGCGCCGAGATGGGCAGGTCCGTCGCCTGGCTGACGGCCTTCCGCGCGAGGCGCGCGGCCTCGGGCGAGGCCTCGATAGCGTACACCTTCCGAGCGCCCGCCCGCGCGGCGCTCAGCGCCAGCACGGCGAACGGGCCGGTCCCGAGATCCACCACGACGGCGTCCGAGGTGCCGGCGAGCCGCTGCCGGATCGCCTTCTCGAAGAGTGGCGTGCGCCTCTCGTCGTCGACCATCGCCTTGTACGCGCCCTCGTCGAAGCGGATGAAGGAGGCGTCGGAGAAGCCCGCCGTCGCCGTCCAGCTGGCCTGCAGGCTCGCGCTGCTGGGAGATGTCACGGCGTTCGCAGCAGCCACAGGCGCGACGAGCACGGGCAGAGCTGCTGTCTGCAGGACCTCGCGCCGAGAGCGGTGCGCTGGCGTGAGGATGGCGCCGCTGCACGCCAGAAGGGCCAGCAGGCTTGGCATTTTGTGGCAAGCACACAGCGTTCGGACTCTCGGACTCGGACTCCGACTCCTCGGAAACGCGCACGTCTAGCCTGTTCGCGGCTTGAAAATTCTTTTTTTGAGATGGCCTTCGATTGACGAGCTGTTCTTTCACCTTTCTACATAAGTTACCTTCGATGTATGAAGTCGCTCCTGTGAAAATAAAAAAGAAAGTGACCGTCACCGCCAGTCTAGCGTCCACCCATCCAAGAGAATGATGCGACAGAGGAGGAAGTGACAAGGGAGAGAACGACGAGAGTGGGACGGCCGCGAGGTGGCATGAAGGTTGCAGCGAGAAGCGGCGAGCGGTCTCAGACCTAGATTCTAGTTTCAAGAATGGCATTCTTCGAAGTAGAATGGGCGCCGCAGCGGCCCGTAGCGGCGCCCCCTGCGTGCCCACGGCCACCCCGGGGCCATGGGACATCCCCCCGGCCATCGGGGATGCTTGGTTTATCCATTACCCCATTTACACGGGCTGTGTTGCGGCGCGCCTCGAGACGCGCAGCGCAGCGCAGCGCGCAGTCCGCAGACCACAAAACAGATCAGAAGACGGCCGTGGCGACACCCGCTCTGGCGACAGCCCCGCAAAAGGCACTCGCTCGCCGGCAAGGACTACGGGTAGCACAGGCGGCAGCAGAGGTGGCGGTCCGGGTCGCAGCGCGCGTAGCAAGTCGGCCCCAGCGTCACGGGCGTCGGGCCAGGAGCCGGCTCGACGAGATCGACGAAGAGGACGAAGAGGAGGAAGACTACTCGAACTTGGACGAGGACTCGGGCGAGGAGCAGGACTCGGAGACCGGCCAGGGAAGCGACGACCATGACTAGGTGACACGAGGAGTAGATGTGACACGAGTAGTCCGCATTTCGCGCTGTCTGCTGTCTGCTCTCTTTCGCCGCCCGACCCTTTCGCCCGCCCACCACTTGCGAGCACAAATCTCACACCTCCACTGCCCTCGCCACAGGCGGCGACGGACTGACATCCAAGGCTCGAACGGCGGCAGCGCTCAACGGCCGCCGGCGGCCATCGTGCGTTTGCTTTTGCCATACGTGGCGCACCCCCCGGCGTCTGCTCTGGTTTGGGGGCGGGGGGAGGACTCTCTCATGTGCGGACTGTTGGGCTCTCTGTGTTGAACTGGGGCTTGTGCGCGAACCCCATCAGTCTGGCCGAGCGGCACGCCGCCGCTGGGGGCGTGAGAAGGCCGTGGGGGACGGCGGCGGACCCCATTCTTCGATACAGAATGGGCCCTCACCGCGGCCCGTCTGCTGCTGAAAATGTGGCATGTTGGGGGCTCTCCTGTGTGACTCCTCTGGCTCGCCGCGTTAAACTGGCGCCTGTGTGTGACCAACCCCAACCCCGGCAAGCGCCCCCCGGCCGCTGGGGCTGCGAGGCGGCCGGGTGAGCGCGCGCGAGACGCCATTCTAGATGTAAGGATGCCATTCTATAATCTAGAATGGCCAGGTAGGGCTGAGACCGCGAGAGACTGCGAAAAGAGATAGGAAGAGGCAGACTCCCTAGGGTGGGCGACGGCTAGCGCATCACACCCCTCTCCTTAAAATCCCTGTGTGGTGGCGGCGTGCCGTCCTCCCATCCCTCCCTTGGGTTGTCTGTTTTCTTTCTTTCTTTTTTCCACCCATCCATACCGCGTTGGTGTCCCAGTCGTTGGTCGGACTGTGTTTCGCCTTTTCCTATATCAATCAATCAATGTATGAAACAAACAAGGCGGACAGAAGCACATCGCTCTCGGTCCCACAGACATCCCGCACACCCGCCGCACACCCGCCGCACACCCGCGCGCCCCACCCCGGCCGGGAGAAAGGGGAGTGACAGTTTGGGAAGGAAGGAAAGTCGAGATACCTCGCACTCCATGATTGTGCGAGAACGCAGAGAAATGAAAGCCGTCCGGCTCACAAGAGAAGTCCGGCTCACGCGGCCCGAGCTTACCATCTACCGGCTACCGCACACTGAACACTTTCGCCCCCTCGCTCCCAACCCATCCACCTCGCCGAGCCCGAGATATGCCGAGGCGCCGCAAAACCGCGCGTATCTCGGGCGATCTCGGGCCGCGCCGCGCGATCTCGGGCGATCTCGCGCTATCTCCTTTTCTTCCCCCCGTAACCGAACCGCCGCGAGATTTGAAGAGAAAAATGATTTGCTTTCAAAAATTCGAGTTACCCCCCCTGCAAAAACAGCTCATCGAAGCGTTGCATCACCCTCGAGGGCGTGAGCTCAGCGTACTTTGGCGCACGCCAGTCCTTGGCGCGGGCGGCTGTGCGATTGAAGCCGAGCAAGATGCCCATCAGCGAGGCCTTGTCGTGGTAGAGCAGGCCGTTGCCAGCGAGCGCATCGAGGTGGGCGCGAGCGCGATGATTGTCGTGTGCCTCACTCGAGGTGATTACGGGCTTACCAGCGACGTTGAACTCGGCCACTGCGAGCCCAAACGTCTCTCCCTCATGACGCGCGTGCAGCATTGCATCGCTCGTACGCACAAAGCTCGCCTTACGGTGTGCGTCCTTCAAGGAGGGTAGGAATAGGAGGTTTGGCTGATTGGCCGTGCTGAAACGCTTCGTGTTGGCGAACAGAAAGTAAAGCTCAGGGCGCGCACTCGCCACCTCGACGATTGCGCTGTGCACGAACGGGATGTTGAAGCTGCTATGACCGCCATATCGGCCAAAGACGGTGGCATTGCCAGGGATGCCAAGCTCTGCTCGCAAATCGCCAGCGGCACTAGCATCACTGCCTGCCGCTCTGACGAGATACGGAAGCACGGGCGTGCAGCGGGATGTCCGGCTGTGCCGCGCGCCTCCCGTTGCAGAGCACGAGCCTGGAACACTCGAGCTCACGGAGGCGTACGCGCTGCCATGAGGCCACCGAGCGTCGAACACAGCATGAACCAAATTGCGCACGTGAGGCAGCGTTGACACAACACCGTCAGAAGTGCCCATCTTTTGCCAATACACGTCCGTCAGACCAAACTCGCAGGCGACCTCGTCGACCTGGTGCGGCAGCTTCTTCAGGCTCCATCCCTTGATTGCGACGACGCGTCCGTCGCCAAACCGGCCTCGAAAGGTTGCCAGCGACGCTATGCATTCGGCTGGCTGAGCGGCAGCGGAGCAGACGCACACAAACACACTCGGCCGCCGCAGGTGGAGGATCGTCTCGGCAAAGTCGCCATAGTCGAACACTGATGTTGCACTGCCTCGCGAGCACGCAAACACGAATCCGACGCGCCGCACTGGCGGTCGACTGCAGTTGGCGAGGGCTGTGCTCGAACTAACGCGTGTCGTCGGCGATGCTTTCATTGCCGTCGGCAGCCGAGCGGCTCCGCGCAGGAGTTTGGATTGCAACGCGGCTTTTGGGAAGGGGTCGGGGCTGGCGAGGTACTTCCAGCCTGCTGTGGGAACAGCTGACAGTCTCGCCGAGGCTCGCCCCAGCAGGCGTGACCTGCCTCAGCAGTGCCAAGTCGGCCTGACTAAGCGCTCGATTCAGCCTCCGAGGCCCGGCATCTGGCCAGTGGGTGCACTGGACAGACTCGTGGAGGTGGTGGCAAAAAGGTCTGGCGCGACGCGTCCACCCGACTGCGCGGCTTGCAATATGCGTGCTGCGGGCACGACAGCCGTCAAGCTCATGCCGCCGTACCCGTCGGCTGGTCACCGACTGCGAGAGAGGGATCGCACGCGCGCGGCGCGCCAGCAGCAGCCCGGGGGGAGGGCGCGCTCTCTCTCTGCCTCTGCGCAGAGCTCTGAGCAAGTGCTTGTGAGGCGCGCAGAGCGCGCGTCCGTTGCACTGTCCGACTAGGGCACCAATCGGCGCCGATCGCGCGCGCCAGAGCGGGTTGGGGTCGCTCGGTACATGCCCTGGCGCGTGCCAGGACGTCTGCCGAGGGCCTGCGGCAGGGGGCGAGAACGAGTGGAGACCACCAGAAACCACCGCGAGACCGGGCGGGATCTGCTCTGGGGTGACAGGGGATGTCTGGGACCCTTTTCGGGCCCTCTCGAGCTCTGGCGCAGCGCCGCGCTGCAGGCTGTGCGAGTGGTGTGACGGCGCGCCTCTCGGTGGTTGGGCGTAGGTCGTGCCGTTGGAGGCCCGGAGCCGCGGCGACGAGTCGCGCATATCCGTCGCCGGCGCGCGCGCCGGCTGTGAACAAACGGAGTCGAGAGGGGGACGCACGCACGCGCCCCTTGAACGAGCCTCGTACGCGGCGCTGGTCAAGGAGCTGAGTGGACTTCCACCTTCGTAAGAGCCACACCTTGCGCTGTGGTCCGTTTTCTTTGGATAAACTGGCCGAAGGAAATGGGGACCACGGCGATGTAGCACAATGGTTAGGGTTGCCTAGGCGCACCGGTCGAACTTGAGCAGCGCCCAGACGATCAATCGCTAGATCTTCGTCTGGGACTCCTGGTCGGTCTGGCTCACACAGTACGTCGAAAGTGATCTTCGGCATGAGCTTCAAAGCCCGTGGGGACTATAGCACGCCATTCTCGCCATGGTATTGCAACAAGGATCAAGCTTCAAGGTAACCAAAAACCGCGAGAGCAGGCCGCTCTCCAGTCCCTCCAGCCCGCAGCCGCGACACGACTCGCACGAGACGAGACCCAGCGGCAGCTAGCGCAGATGCCTCCACCATGTAGTGTAGAGGGATGAGGGAAGTCCGGACGACGGAGAGAAATAATTTTACCGCACTCCAAGAGCTCCTAGTGACAGGTGTGCCACGTAAGCCGCGCGCGCGGCACCGACCGGCGACCGTGCTTCTGCTACTGCTTGGACGCACACTCACTGCGGTCCCGCAACGGCGGGTATTTACGTCATGGTGCGCTCCCTTTGCCGCCGCCAGTTCGTCTTGCTGTCCCGCAGGAGGCTGCCACCCGAGGTCCCAAAGTGACCATTTGCCGCGCCCGTCGCACCGTCGATCTTGAATTTGGAGCTCATCTTGGACGTCAGCCCGCCCACGACAAAGCGCGTGTACGCCACGTCCTCGTCGTCGCCAACGCACGCGCCGCGCACGAGGAGGGAGCGGCAGCCAGCGGCGGCGAGCCGGCGCCCGAGGGACACCTCCTCATTGTCGGCCTGCATCGCGGAGATCGCTACAACCGCGGCCGCCTCGGGTGGTATGGCACCAAGAATGTCGCCCACGTCTGCGCCCTCGCCATCAACGAGGAACGTGCCGCTGCCGTGGCCAGCATCAGCAACCGCAGCAACCTCGGCAGCCGAGCTCACCCGCCAGAGCACGTCGACCCCGAGGGCCTCTGCAGCCGCGTTTGCAGGCGCCAACACCACCGCACTTGCTCCGGCAGCGACCGCCATTCCCACCTCTGACGCGGCGCCCGCAAACACCACGGGAAGCGGCCCGGGAAAGTCTGTGGCTGCAGTCGCTTGCTCCTTACACACCTCGGCAAGAGTCGGCACCGCGTCGCTCCAGAGCGCTGCGACATTGCAATCCCGCCGAAGCTTCATCGACAGCAGCGCAATCTCGGCTGACGTGAGTGCATTCGCTCCCAACCTCAGTTCGGCGGCGACGGTGAGAGCGCCCGATCTCGGGAAGAGAGCGCCGCGCGCCGCGGCCGCGTCAACAAACGGCAGGCGTGCGATGAGCCCCAGAAGGCCGAGGACCCTCATCCGCGGCGAATTCTTTTTTCCATCTCCCAGCACTCTTCGCGGGGCTCGCGTTCGACAAGACCGGGATCGCTCTACCGGCAAACCTCTCGCTGACATGCGCGCCCCGTCGAGCTGACGGCGGGCGCGCTGAGGTCGCACGCCAAGCCAAGTTATATGCCAATGGCATGCGATCTAGAATCGGCTCACGCGCCTCTACTCGCATACGCTCACCCATAGAATTGTCACCGCCAGTGAGTGCGAGATAGGGCTAGCGGCTGGCGGCTAGCCTCTGAGGAGATTGACCAGAGACACCTCACACGACCCCACACACGGTCTATCTAGTCCGGCCTCGCGGTCGGCGGAGATTGCTAGAGGACGAGCAAGCCTGCTCTACTCGAGTAGCCTCGCATATTACCTCCTGTCGTCTGTTGTGATGTTGTGCCCTTGTTTGTTTCTCTTGGCACCTTGGAGTGCTGGGGGGGGGCGACAGGAAGAATGTGGCCCTGAGTTATGTGTACGCCAACTCAGGGTGTGTGGCAGCCAGCTGGCTGTGTGTCTTGTGAGCTTGTTTGTGTCTGTGTGTCGCTCGTGCGTGTCGTCATCATCTGTCCCGCGTCCACCCATACCGCGTTGGTGTCCAGTCCGAGCCTGGCTGTTCTTCACCTTTCTACCTACCTACCTACCTACTCTTTGAGGAGTTGGGGGGAGGCCTCCGGGGCCTGCCTTGTTATTGAGAAGAAAATACGTCCTTTGGCGCTGTGCGCTGGTCTGTGAGAGGTTGAGGTGCGAGCCCTTTCGCCTTTCGTTTTCTAAATAAAAATGAGACCAATGCTCACTCTGGCCGCGCGTGAATCGACCGATTGGGCGCTCCTTCGACTCCATCACTGGGTTCCGGCTCCTACCCGGATAGGGGGTCTGTTCACACTGGCTGGCCCCTCCCAGATAGGTAGGTAGGTTGGTCTTGTTTGGCCCAAAAGGGCCCTGCAATAGTATCCCCTATTTTCATCTTTTTACGCTTCGCTGCGCGGCCTGGGGATAGGAAGGTAGGTAGGGCGTTTTGGCGCGAGCGATAGACCCCCTATCCGGGTAGGATCCGGAACCCTGTCATGCTTGGCGGCCTCTCGCGCCTCGCCCACGGCCTCTGGGAGTGCGGCGAGTGCGGCCTTGTCGACGAGCGCGGCTTCGATGACGATCACTGGGTGCGTCAGGCCCACCGGGTGCGCGACGAGAGGGTGCGCCGGCCTTCGCAGTCCAAATTCCGGGTCGTGGCAGTCGTCGTCTATGAGCGTGGCGACGGTACCGTCTCGCACGTGATTGGCCACAACGACGAGGCGGCGTGCCTAAAGAACTCCATCTGCGCCGAGCGCGCCGCCTTCGTGCAGCTCTGCATGCTGCCTCAGTCAGCTTGCTCCCGCGTCACGGCCGTCTACATTGCCTCCGACGCCGCCGAGCCCATCACGCCGGGAGCGCTGTGCCGTGAGTTCATGATGTCGTCGCCTCTCACATCGACCGACACGCGCATCGTGATGGAGGGCGGTGGGCGGAGGCTTGACCTCCGGCTGGCCGGCCTCTACCCGCACGCGTCGCCCTACATCCGCCTGACGGCCGAGGAGCAAGCGGCGGCCGGGAGGCGACTTGGGCCGGCGGTCCGCCCCTTCCCCGCCGCCCACGAGCAGCAGGCGTGGCGCGGCGCCGTGAACCGCGGCGGGTGGGCGTTCCCGGACCTCCTCGATCCTCCCCCTAGGCGTGGGAGGGCGCGGTCGCGGCGGCGCAAAGGGACGCGCGCCCGCTCCACGCGATTGGATACGGCAGCGGACCCCACGACAGTCCCCAGACGCAGACACTCCCCACCAGCCACCCACCCCAGACACTAGACACGCCCCCCGGGCCGATGGCTTGTCACCCCGAGTCACCCCGAGTGAGGAGTTGCCCCCTTCCCCGACTGCCTCGCAGGCGCCTGCGTCGTCTTCGAGGACGGCAGCGACGCGAGGGCGTGGCAGTGGAAGGCGCTCGAGTACAGCTGCAGCCTCGACGCGGTGTGCTTGCTCGCCCCCGCCCTCGCGGCGCGCAGGGATGGCGGCGTCGAGCCGCGCGTGCTCTGCCTCGCCGACCAGCACGGGGTGTGCCACGCACCGCACGCCACCGCGAGGGCCATCCTCGTGGAGCACGGCTACGGCGATGTCCGTGTCCTTGTCCACGACAGCGACGGCCACGCCCACACGCCCACGGCGGCGGAGCTGCTGCCAACGGCGCCCACCGCCTTCGACGCTTTCCTGGCGTGCGGAGGCGGCGCCGGCGAGGCTTAAGCCTTAACATCCGTTAGCATATGCATGTATCTAAGGTGTAGGAGACGGTTCAACTTTAATGCGGGGGTGGGGGGAGCCGCTGCCCCACTTCCGACCAATAGGGGAGAGAACATATGTGTCGGTCTCGTAATCGCCGCGGTGCGCAGCTCTCGTCGACTCGTCTCTGACTGTAAACTATCACACACAACGTCACTGACACTGTGTGATGGAGAGATGCTCTGACTCCCGACGGCGGAGAGATAAAAGGACACTCGCACATGGCGGGGGGTCCGCAGCAACAGCTCGTCTCCTCGATCATTTAGGCGTGACTTGCCGACCTTGCCCTTGCAGATACAGCATGGAGCGCGTCGGCGGCACGACGCGAAAGCGGCGGCGTGCGGGCAGAGGCAGCGCGAGCAGCTTTGGCAACGACGTGCAATCCATCTGCAGGTCCGAGCCGCCCTGTGCCGCAGCGCTGCTTCTGGCGGCGGCGGCGATGGCCTCCTTCGCGTCTTCCGAGCTCATGAAGAGGGGTGAGAAACGGGTCCCGTCGGGCCTGCGACGCACTAACCTCATGCAGCTGAAGAGGGGAATGTGCTCCTCATCCCAGCGCGCCACCGGGCTGGGCAGCCCGGCTTCTGCGAGCATCGCTGCAGCCTCGGAGGGCGCGGCGAGCTGAGCCTCTTGCGCCGCCACAAGCTCGTCCCGGCCCGGGACGAAAACCGCGTTGCTGTGGCGCACCGCCGCGCCCAGTCCAACCGGAAGAAGCTGCAGCCCGAGCGACGGGCTTCTGGCGCGCCCGACAGAGAGCTCTCGCAGCGCACGGTCCACGTCGCAGAAGAACATGGCCACCATGGCGCCACCACGCTCGTACTGCAGGAGCTGCCCATCCGCATTCGCCAGCGAGAAGACTGGCACGCTGTCGAGATCCTTGTCCTCCGACGCGGCGGCATTGGTGGTGGTGGCGCAGATGGCGCCGGGAGCACGGGCGGCGGTGAGCATCAGGGCCGGCGGTGAGGAAGAGACGACCAGGGCGAGAGCGGCGACGATTAGGCTGGAGGGCATGGCGGGTTGGGTACTGCTGTGCTGCACCCGCGAACGCGGCGAGCGCGGCGAGCTTCGATTCCTGGCGAGCCCTCGGCACGAGCGAGCGGGTTGGGGGCTGCGGGGGAGGAGGAGGGGGGGGTGGAGGGGGGGCTTTTAAAAGGGAGGGATCCCAAGGGGTTGTTGCGCTGGTGTCCAGTCCGGGCCGCACCTGTTCATCACCTTCCTATCTGTCTATCCCCGACGCTTCTCTCCCTGGAGGCTAACACGGAGTATCATCGATTACAATCATCGATTCATCGTGTGGGTGGGGGGGGGCTGGGGGGGGGGGGGGAAGGGGGGGGGGGCTTTCCTTCCATTCGAGGGGTTCGGCAAGGGTTTTCCCCCGGGCCCTCCTCCCGGGTTCGCTTCGCTCAACAGCCAAAAAAACTTGGAGCACTTGGAGTGCAGTCATCAAACCTCACATCCAGGGCCGGGGAGCTAAGAAGCGCACCCAGCGGGCCGGATGATCGATATCGGGTTGCGGGCAAGAGAGCCCTAGCCCTGGGGGCTGCGCGCGGTCGCAGGGAAAAGGAGAGAGCGTCTCTGCGCACCCCGGGCCACCCCGCTCGCAGACGGTGCCGCGAAGCGCAATATGCCAGACGCTCTTGCGTTGAGCGGAGGGTGCATGCCCTGGAGGTGGAGCTATATGACGAAACAAGTGAAAATCACACGCCGCCTCTGCTCGGCGTCACAGACACACAAAAGGCTCCTCCTGGACCTGGGGCCCGGCCGCCGCTGCCGCCGGTGACGAGAAGAGCGCGGTCACAGTCTCCCACGACAGCACCTTCGACTCGTCCGCGCGACGCTGTCGCTTGCAGGGGCTTCCGCCGCTTCCGCCACCGCTCGCCGGCCCTCGGTCGCTCGCACCCTGTCCGCCGGCGTCAGCGCGGGCGCCGCCCTGCCGTCCGAGCCCCAGGATCGCCTCCTCAATGGTGCCGCGCATCACAAACCTGTGCACGACCGTCGGCCGCGTCTGCGACATGCGGTGGACGCGGCCCACGGCCTGCGCCTCCACGGCGCGCTCGAGGAGCGGCTCGGAGAGGAAGACGTGCTGCGCCTCGACAAGGGAGATGCCGTTGGCGCCAGACTTGAGCGGCAGGAGCAGCACGCGCACGCTCGGGTCGTTCCGGAAGCTGTGGAGCGCCGCGTCGAGCGTGCCTGCGCCCTGCAGCCGGCGAAAGGGCACCTCGTTCTCGCTGAGCGCACGCGCGATGAGCGAGAGCATGTCGTCCCACTGCGAGAAGATGAGGCACTTGTCACCGGCCGGCAGCGCTTGCACCTGCTCCACGATCGCCGTCACCTTGGTGCCCCACGAGCCTACGTCATGAAACACCGAGGTCGGGGTGGGAATCGGTGTGTCGCGAGGTGTATTCGCAGCGCAAGGGCATCGAGTGCAATGGATACAGCGGAATAAAGCGGAACGCGTGTCCTCTCGAGCGCTGGCTGGAATACAAGAAGACGTTGTCCGCTTCTAGGCCCACGAGCCCTTGACGCTCGTCCCCGCGGAGGAGCCGTCTGCCCACCGCAGCTCGCTGGCCATCGCGAGCGGCCCCTTCTCGCGACAGATGGGGCAGACGAAGCTGCCGCCGTGCCGTGCGACGATGCGCTCGGCGCAGGGCGTGCACAGCGAGTGCGCGCAGCGCGCGATCGAGCGCTCGTTCGGTCCCACCTCGTCGTGGCAGACCGGGCACATGGCCATGGCCGCGCCCTCGCCCCCCTCACCGTCGGCGAGCAGCGCCTGCCGCCGCAGGTACGAGTACTGGCGCTTGCCTGCGTTGAGGTCGGCGATCGCGAGGGCGAGGTCGCCGCGGTACTTGTGCGCCCGCTCTGCATGCTCGTACCTCACCACGTACCTCAAGGTGCGGAGGCCGCGGGGTGAGGAGGCGAATGGCTAGCCTCTGGTTGTGGGGAAGCCGGCGGCGCGCACCTGTGCCGCTCTGCCTCGAGCGGGTTGATCCTGCGCAGCTCCTCGTCGTCCTCGACCAGCTCCATCGTGCTCACGCCTAATCTCGGGTCGTCTCGGGTCGTCTCGGGTCGTCTCGGGTCGTCTCGGGTCGTCTCGGGTCGTCTCGGGTTCTCAGCTCCATCGTGCTCACGCCTTGGCCGAGCTCGTCGAGCTGCGAGAGGAGGTCAAAGTGCGCCGACCAGAGGGCGCGGCACGCCTTGATCTCGCGCTTCAGTGCCGCGAGCAGCTCCAGCTCCCGAGACGCCTCTGCGCAGAGCGCCTTCCAGGAGGAGCCGCCGCCACCCGCCCCGCCCCCGCCACCCGCCGCTTGCGCCGCCGCCGCCCCCGCCGCCTCGGCGGCCGCCTGCGAGTTCAGCCACCCAGACAGCGCCGAGAGCAGCCGCAGCAGCGGCGCGTCCTCCAGGAAGGCCTCGCCCACGTTGCCGCGCATTGCCCCGGCGTCGCGCGACGGGTCGGCGGCGCTGTCGGCGATGCCGCCGCGCACCGCCGCCACCTCGACTTGCCTCTGGCGGCGGTGCGTGAAGAGGGAGTAGAAGTAGGCGTCGTACAGCCCCTCGCGCTTGCAGTGCGCGCACAGCGCGCCCTCCTTGCCCCAGTCGGAGCGGCAGCGGAAGCAGCTGCCGCTCTCGAGCACCTCCTCCTCGCTCGGCTGAGGGCGCATCGCATCGTGATTACCCGAGACTACCCGAGATTACCCGAGATTGCCCGAGATTACCTGAGGGCTCATCGCGTCGAGCTCGTCCAGCAGCCGCCGCCGGCTCGCAAAGACGCGGCGCCGCTCCTCCTCCGCCTAATCTCGGGCAATCTCGGGTCCTCGCGGGCAATCTCGCGAAGACGCGGCCCCGCTCCTCCTCCGCCGTGGAGAGAGCCGCCAGCGCGCCGCCTGTGTCGAGCGCCATGGCGAGGCTGCCCGAGGTGAGGCACGCCTCGCCACCCAATCGCTCGCGCAGACCCTCGGACGCCTGCAAAGAGGACGAGAGGCGCGCGCGCAGGCGCGGTAGCCAGTGCCCGTCCGCCGCGCCGCCCGCCGCGCCGCCCACCGCCCCGCCTCCGCCTCCGCCGCCGAGTGAAGCGAGCAGCGCCTCCACCGCCTGCCGCAGCTGCGCGAGGCGGGAGCGGCTCGCCTGCCCGACGGGCGATCTCGGGTGATCTCGGGTGATCTCGGGTGATCTCGGGTGATCTCGGGGACCCGGCTCGCCTGCCCGACGGCGGCGCGCTCCGAGACGAGCTGTGCGCGAAGCGAGGCCGCCTCCGCGTGTAAGGCCTCCACCTGCGTCGCCAGGTCCTCGGGGTGGGGCGCACCACTCGCGCCCGCCTCAGCCTCGCCCGCCGCCACGCCCGCCGCCACGCCCGCCGCCACGCCCGCCGCCACGCCCGCCGACACGCCCGCCTCGGTGCTCGCCTCGGTGCTCGCCTCCCCCTCCACCTCCATCACCGAGGGCGACGTCGAGCCGCCGCCGCCGCCGCCGCCGTCGAGGAGCGAGAGGTTCCGCGCGCGGTTGTGGATCAGGTGCAGCCGAGGGATCGCATCCACCTCGAGCTCCGCCTCCAGGAGGTGGAGCTCGCCCAGCTCGCACTCGACGCTTCCGTCGCCACCGCCGCCGCCGCCGCCGCTACCGCCGCCGCCGCCGCCGCGATCGCCACCGTCGCCACCGCCGCCGCCGCCGCCGCCGCTGTTGCTCGCCGCCGCCTCAGCTGGTGGGTGCCACGCTGTGACCACCAACCGGTATTGCCGCGACTTGTGCGGACGATAGCAGCCAAAGCTCGTCCAGCCGCCACCGCCTCCGCTGCCCGCGGCCGCCGGCTCTGAGGCGCGTTCCCCGCCCGCGGGATGGCGCAGCGCAGGGCGAGGGAGCGGAAACTGGCCAACCTCCACGAAGATGCCCGCCGACTCGGCGCCGCTCGTGGCGTAGAGTGCCACCGCGGCGGGCGTCGCGCGTCTGCCGGCGACGCTCCTCAGCCGTACCTCCGACAAGCGGCGCGGCTTTGAAAACTCGATGCGCACCCACGCGTCCCTCTCGGCGACGTCGCTCCACGCTGCCGCCGCGCCGCCGCCGCTCGCCGCGACGGACCCGCAAGGGAGTGTCCACCGGAGCGGGCCGAGCGGGCGTGTCGGCTGGAGCGGCCCAGCGGGCGCTTGGAAGCGGAGCGACTCTGGCCCGCAGAGGGTTGCCTCGAGAGACGCCTACACGAGCAGATGGCCTCAGATCGCCCGAGATTGCCCGATACGCTTTCGCGCGACCCGCGGGTCGACAGGCGCACCTCCAGCGGCATCGGCTGCCGATTGGCGGCGCTCAGCGCGAGCGCTTCAGCGTAGCGCGCCGCGGCGACGGCGTGCTCGCCGACCATTGCATGCATGCTGCGGGGCCAGGGTTAGGGTCAGGGTCAGGGTTTGGTGGGGAGGGAGGGAGGGAGGGAGGGGGAGGGGCAGGGGCGGTAGGGCGAGGGCTCCTGCCGAGCGCAGAGAGGTTGAACAACACCTTGCGCTGCTCCTCCTCGCAGCGGCTCTTCTCCTCCTCGATCAGCTTGCCCAAAATGTCGCGCATCGACATCGGGTCCGCCAGCCCCGCCGCCGCACCGCCGCCCCGCTCCCTGCGCCCGCGGATGCCAAATGAGCCCAGCTGCGGGTGGCAGCACGCCTGCCGCAGCCGCAGCACGCCCTGCATCGAGAGCGCCGCGAGCGCCTTGTCGGCGGCGGCTGCCGCCTGCCCTGGCCTCGTCGCCCCAGCTGCCCTGCCGTCGGCGGCGGCGGTGGCGACGGCGCCGGTCGCACCCTCTGCCGCCGCCTTCGCCTCCCGCTGCTGGCGGTCGTGGAGCGAGAGCGCGCGCTGCGCCGAGGCGTGGCACTCGCGCGCCTGCTTGTCGTAGAAGTGGCGCTCGATCGACGAGAGCGTGAGCCGGTGCACGACGTCACTCTGCGGCGGGAGGTCGAGCTGATGGAGCACCGACTCCTGCAGGGCGGGTCGCGGACACAAGCGTCGTAGACGTGTCGCGGAAGTGTCGCGGAAGTGTGTCGCGGACGTGTCACGGGCGTGTCACGGGCGTGTCGCGGGCGTGTCGCGGGCGTGTCGCGGGCGTGTCGCGGGCGTGTCGCGGGTGAGACGGGCGGGTCGAGCGTCGCGCGCCTTGGAGTTGCGCCACATCACGGCATGCAGCAGCTCGAGCAGCCGCCCCTCGGCCGCACGGAAGGCTGCCGCTCGCCCGTTCCTGCCCAGCAGCACCTACGCCGAGATCTGGCTGAGATCTGGCCGAGATCTGACCGAGATACCGCCGCCCGCCCGTTCGCCTTGTCGGACTGGTCGGCCGCCCCTCCCGCGCCCGACCGCACGAGTGCGTGAGCCGGCGCCGCCGCGCCTCCTTCGCCTTCGCCTTCGCCTTCACCGCCCTCTTCGCCGCCGCCGCCGCCGCCGCCGCCGCCGCCTCCGCCCCCGCCGCCGCCGCCTCCGCCCCCGCCGCCGCCTCCGCCGCCGCCTCCGCCGCCGCCTCCGCCGCCGCCGCCGTGTCGCGGCGCGGACAGCGGCGTCTCAATCGCGCTCCTCCACCAGGCGGGCTCGCTCCACGGCCGGATCTGCAGAAAGGCCATCAGGCCCATCAGGTCGGCGAGTCGGCCACGCCTGTGGGGTCATGTCTCGGGACGTGTCCTGGACGTGACCTGGACGTGTCCTCCACCCGGCGAGCCGGCCGCGCCCCATCGGTGTTCCACTCACCGCCCACCGGTGCATCGCCGGCAGCCGGCGCGCCATCGCCGCCGCCTTGGCCGTCCCGCTCTCCACCATTTGAGCCTCGTCGATCACCACGCGCCACCAGCGCAGCGAGAGCAGCGGCGACAGCACCCTGCCGTGCCCACAAGCACGGAGACATGAATGGAGAGCGATCCGTTCAAAGGTCGAGGTGTCTCCGAGAGTCATGCGCTGCACGAGTAGAGAGGAGCGCATTGACAGGTGGTGCTGATCCCAGCTCGGTGCTGCTATCGAGTGATGTACTCACGAACCTCGCCGCCGCATGCTCGCGCGCCGTCGGGCGGCGCAGCAGCCGCGAGAGGGGCAGCCCATGCGCGGTGTCGTCGGTGGCTGCATGGTTGAGCTCCGACCTATTCGCTAGGGTCCGAGAGGTCACCGGTCGAACTGTGAGGCCGCGACGCGTGGCTCGAGCGCCGACCGCAGCAC